TGCGCGTTAATTTTAAAATTAACTAATAAAAGTTTTTTATTGGTTTATTTTAAAATTAACGCGCATTTTTACGTAACGTTTTTCATAATGATATACTTTTTATAAAGTACTTTTTTATAACATTGTTTTAGTGATCTGTGAAAGTTTCTGAAATTTTTAATAATATTTGAATATCCGCTTTATTTTTTCTATATGCTTTTCTACTTTAATAAATGTTTGGAATTAATAATGTTGTTTGAATAAAGAATGAACTTTAAAAGTAATAAGTGCTTTATAAATGTAATAACACTATTATAGTTTTATTACTTTTATAATGCAGTTAGTGACTAAAGTGTTATTACTTTTGTAGTCATAAGTTTATCGTTTTTGTTTTGTTTTTTGTAACTTTCTCGCTAGCAAACTTTTAATAATTTGCTTCTTATAATCAAAGTACACAGCTTTGCATGAACTAAAATTTTAAAGACCTAATATTTTTTTTGCAAATCGTGATCGTATAATTTATCGTATAAGTCTTGATATAAACTTGTTAAATTATAATTATACAAATATATTTTACAAACAGTTGGCAATACATATTTTCGCTTTCCTCTTTAAAAGAAAAAACACATAAAATAGGGGAAAGTCATCCTATTTAACGCCAAAAAACCGTTTTTTTTTTCTTTTTGCTTTGACTTAATGAATTTTGTTGCCGATAATAATAACCACTAAGAAAAAACAAAAATAAAAACAACACACAAAATATTTAAACTATCATTATTGTTTTCTATTTAAGTTTACTTCGAGACAAAAAACCACACGCCTCTTCTGGGAAGGCTTGTATATATATGTGTGTATATATATATATGTATATATATATATATATATATATATATATATATATATATATATATATATATATATATATATTTATGATGATACTTTTAAAATTATTTTAAAAATTTAAGGTCATTCTAACAAAATTTGCCAAAATTATTGGATTACAAAATGGGGTCAAACATTTCAGAACACCCTGTACATATATATACAGGGTGTTCTGAAATGTTTATATATAAATATATATATATATATATATATATATATATATATATATATATATATATATATATATATATATATATATATATATATATATATATATATATATATATATATATATATATTTATGATGACACTTTTAAAATTATTTTAAAAATTTAAGGTCATTCTAACAAAATTTGCCAAAATTATTGGATTACAAAATGGGGTCAAACATTTCAGAACACCCTGTACATATATATACAGTGTGTTCTGAAATGTTTATATATAAATATATATATATATATATATATATATATATATATATATATATATATATATATATATATATATATATTTATGATGATACTTTTAAAATTATTTTAAAAATTTAAGGTCATTCTAACAAAATTTGCCAAAATTATTGGATTACAAAATGGGGTCAAACATTTCAGAACACCCTGTACATATATATACAGGGTGTTCTGAAATGTTTATATATAAATATATATATATATATATATATATATATAATATATATATATATATATATATATATATATATATATATATATATATATATATATATATATATATATATATATATATATATATTTATGATGATACTTTTAAAATTATTTTAAAAATTTAAGGTCATTCTAACAAAATTTGCCAAAATTATTGGATTACAAAATGGGGTCAAACATTTCAGAACACCCTGTACATATATATACAGGGTGTTCTGAAATGTTTATATATAAATATATATATATATATATATATATATATATATATATATATATATATATATATATATATATATATATATATATATATATATATATATATATATATATATATATATATATATATATGTATATATATATATGTATATTTATTTATTTAATTATTTATTTGTTTATAATAATACTATTATAATTATTTATAAAATATTTGTCATTTTTAGGTACAATTGGTATACCTGTTGTTATTTTATGTTTGGAGGGGGGTCCAAACACAATAAAGACAATGGTAGAAGGAGTTAGAAAAGGTACCCCTGCTGTTGTAATTGATGGTAGCGGTAGAGCGGCTGATGTTGTATGCTACGCCTACAAACATCTAACATTGTAGGTTTAGACAAAGTTAGCTTAATAATAAGTTGAACAATTTTTTTTTTTCTGAAACAATATTTAAAAATAATTTCATAACTAAATTATTTTAGTGACAAAGTTATTAAATCAACAATTATTAATCCTCAATATATAGACGACATTAAGCAAAAAATTTCAGAGGTTTTTGGACAGAATAGCAAAGAAAGCGTTTATAAAGAGATTGAAGAGCTTTTGAAAGATGAAAAAATGGTTTTTTTTTGTCTTATAATATTTTTTTATAATTTTTTTTTTATTATAATTTTTGAGTTTCTTTTTTATTTTATTTTGTCTACAATATGAATCAACAATAGGTATTTAAATTAGCAGTAATATGGATTAGTCTATAAATACATAGATTAGTACATAGACATATTTGCCATATAGCAAATTTGAAACAACTATCTGGGGGCGCCAACCAATAAGGAGTGCTTGGTTTTTTATTTTCTTTAAAAAAGTTTAACAGGCATTTTTTTTTTAATTAAAAAATCAAAATTTATTTCAAATTTATTTGAGTTTTTAAAACTATTCCTATGATTATTTTAAAATAAACTTTAAACAAACAATTACAATGTTTAATAAAAAGTACTTGAAGAAAAAAAATAGTTTTTTGATGAAAAAAATTGTTACATTTTCTTCAAAATTAATAAATAGAGAGTCTTGATAAGCTGGGGTGGGGGGAGGAAGAATTAATAAAACTAAGCACTAACTCTTCACCCCTTTATTTATTCGGCAGGTGAAAGTAAGTACCAGCAACATTTGTATGCCGTAAATATTGAAGCATGTGAATCAACTATTTTAAAAAGTTTTAATAGTTAGGGTAAAATTAACTAAAATTTTTCTATAAATTAAAGGTTAAATGTTGGAAGTTCCAGCTTTAGTTATTCGTTAAAACTACATCAGCCTGACTGATATGAAATATTCAAACTCATTTTTATTTGTACAAGTTATTTGTACTTAAGTAGTTTCCAATAAAAATTACAACATTATTTGAGGCGAAAGTAGATTTGGGTTAGTTCAAGGTAGTTGTAAATTAGGAACATTTCCTTTATCTTCCTACTTTGTATCTTGAACTGTATGTTGAGTTATATTGCAACAATATCATCAACCTTTCCATCATATCACATAATGTTTTTTTTTTCAATACCAATTTTAAGTACTTTGGAATTGCAATGCTTTTTTATTTGATTAGTTTTGATTTTGCATTAATTTTGCATTAATGGTGTTGCAATATTGGTGTTGCGAATATTCCACCCTTAGTTTTTACTGCAGCTATATATTGTTGGAACGATTTAGTAAGTGCAAAACTTTGAATCAGCATAGAAGCTAACTGGCTTAAGTACAAACTTGCATAAGTTCAAACTAGCATATGTGCAAAGCAGTTGTAAAAGCTAGCATAAGTTAAAACTGGCATAGGTATGATTTAGCATAAGTTTTAATATCAAAGATAAAAACTAGGCTGCGTAATTAAAAAATAGTTTAGAAATAATTTTGTATAACATTTTTTTTAAAAAAAGACTCATTTAAGTTTAGTTTTTTTATTGTTTCTTTTGTAAAATTTCTTTTAATTTTTAGGTTAGCTTTTTTTATATTCTTTTTTGTTTAGTTTAGCTTAGTTTTCATCACATCTTCCAGCTCATTTGAGTAGTTCATCTTTTTAAATAGCCTAAAATTTTATTTATAATAATTGAATGAACACAAATTAGTTGATGTGTTTCTTTGTGGAAATATTTCCTTGTGTAAAATTATTGATATAATTATTACATCAACAAATTTACAGAAAAAAAAAAGCTTGTTTTTACTGTAGATATGTATTGTTTCAACTTTAATTACAAACTAGAGGGTGACGAATAACTAATTTGAAAGCAAGAGAAATAGGTGAGCAGTTATAAATAGAATACAAGATATAGCTTTTATTACAAATATGAAGTTGTTTGTGACTTAAATTTGTGTTCATAATATGTGTTTGAGTTCAAATTTGATAATGAAATATTGAAGGTGTCAAAGTTCAAAAAATTGTCGGAGTGTTGAAACTAAAGTTGCTAGAGAACTGAAGTGTGTGACAATTGAAATTTTAACCCTAGTCTTAATAAGTGTGTTTTAACTCTAACCTTAAATAGGTTAAAGTTAAATATTAACAAAAGAAAAATTATAATGAAGACTAAGCAGAAATTTCTGGAAACTATTTTGAGTATGTTGAAGATGATAAGTGCCAGCTCAATTATTTGTACTGTTTACATCAACTAACATTTTTTCCAAGTTATTAGTTTTGTTTATATCAGTAAAATGTTAAGTATGTTGGGTATTATTACTATTGGTTTCTACTGGTTACTATTATTTACTTCTAGTTGAATAGTGACATCGTAGTTAACTGTGACTATGATAAGTATTTATAAGTTTTACAAGTAAAATGTTTGTGTTTTAGAGATTTAGTTAGATTTATTTTTAATTTATTTTAGAAATAATGTCTAGTGGCATATTATAATTTTTTTGCATGAAAATTAGAAAGTTCAATCTAGCATTTTTTATGTTGTGAAAATTTAACTTTTGATTATTAACTATTAAAATATTTTACAACATTTGTTGTTTATATTAATAAATTATGCAATGCTTACATTATTTATGTTTTATAAATAGTTTTTAAGATTATTTATATAATTTTAAAAAATGTTTTTTAAAAAATTGTTTATGAATTGTTAATTCCAGCTTTAGTTGTTAAATTCCTATAACATCAATAAAAATTTATAAAAAAGCTATAAAATTTTTTCTCAATTTTGTCAATGTCAAAAGTGTTGAATTGGCTACTAAGGGGGTAGAAACTGAGGGAGTAGAAACTAGGCCTGTTTCTAAAATACTAAAAATTTAGAGTTTTTTTACTTTTTGTTTAGAGATAAACTGCTAGTTAATAGAATATGTTTAGGAAGATTTGTTAACATAATATCCTTAAAAAATTTTTTTTAACAGTCTACACAGTTTCTTAAACATTTTAATTAAAAACAAAAAAACAACAAACAAACAAAAACTGTTGATATTAAAAAAAGCAGCATAATATTTTTTTGATCATTTTTGGATTGATTTTGTCAAAATATTTTTTGACAAAAATTAATTAAAAAAATTTCTGATTTTGCCTGAACATTTTTTTTCTTTCTGTAAAGATCACCGTATTCAGAATGGATGATGAAAGTGGCCAATGCGATATGGATTTAGCAATTTTAAGAGCACTTCTTAAAGGTAAGTTTTATCACATAAAGTTGTATCATCAAGTTGGTAAGTTGTATTATCAAGTTTTACCATATATTATAATATATAATTTCTAACATATATTTATGCACACTTGTTCTATTCATTAAATGAGAAATTTTGATCCTGGTTTCATTGGTTATTAAAATTATGATAAAAGGATAGATGTGGTTTAAAGACACTAAAAAACTTATTTCTCGGCTAAATTAACAATTATAGATGATAAATAAAGCTACGAACTGGAGGTTAAAAACACTGCTAAAATTAAATACAATATTTTATTGTTTCTATGATGTTAACTCTAAAATTTTTATCTACTAGTAATTGTTTATTACAATTTTGTAAAGTTGCTTTGCAAAACATCTTGGTCTCAAATCCAAAGGTTTTTGATAAGTATTCTGGAGTTAATGTGAAATATAAACATTTGAAGCAAGTGTAGGAAATGTAATTCTAAAACATAACTGAATGTAAAATGTTCTTTATTGTTATTCTGAAATGGATTTCAGAAAATTTGTGATACATTTTCTTATGTATTTATGCATATTAGCCTGTATTTAACTCAAGACCTTTATGGTTAAACTATAATGGTCTAGATTTACTGATGAATTGTTAAAGTTTATCAAAATTAATTCTTTATTTTAGCAAACAAAGCAAGTTTTGAAATGCAGTTAAAGTTGGCATTGGCTTGGAACAGGATTGATGTTGCTAAAAGTGAAATTTTTACTGAAGATTTAAAGCAAGATCATTTTAAAGTATATTAATTCATTAAAATATTTATAATTTTTTAATTTGTATTTAAGATTATAAAACATGGAACATACTAATTAATATATTAATCTTCAAATATTAAAACTAATAATAAATGTGTAAATTATACTCATAAAATTTCTTTAAATTTTTCTTATAAAAACTCTTTAACAATTTTTCTTCTTTACTTGCGCTCTTTAAAAAAAAAATTAAATGTTTATAGTTTTTACTTTAGTTATCAAATCAAAAACATATAAATAAAAAAAAAAAATAAGTTAAAGACAAATGAAGCTTTTGTGTTACATTTGTGTATGTGTTTTTACGCCAAAACCAAGGACACCAAACATGATGATAAATAAACAAAATAGACATTAAAAACAATAAATAATTGAACAATAAAATGAAATTAATCAAATTATAATACTTTAGGTTGAGTGGCTCTATGAATCAATGTTTACTGCACTTTCTGATAATAAACCAGACTTTGTGGAATTATTTTTTGAGGAAGGCTTAAATTTAAAATTTTATTTAAAGATGAACGAATTACTAAACTTATACAATGGGGTAATTAATTTGTTTATAATTTTTTATTAACTATCACTATACAATAAGTTACACTTCGTTTATATATATATATATATATATATATATATATATATATATATATATATATATATATATATATATATATATATATATATATATATATATATATATATATATATATATATATATATATATATATATATATATATATATATATATATATATATATATATATATATATATATATATATATATATATATATATATATATATATATATATATATATATATACACTTGCACCAACTTAGCTGTATGATGCTGTTCATAATTTTTGTATTGTATCTAGTCATAAAAATGTCATATACAAAGTTTTTTTGGCAATTCATTCACAATTGAATATACACCAGGGAATTAAAACTACAAAATTTGGTCCAAAAATCATTATTTTTAATTGTGTTATGTTTTAATACCATGGTGGGGTTCAGAGAAAAAAATTAGCTGGTTTCATTATTTAAGTTTATTTACTAAATGCATTCTTATAGATTACAAGATGATAAGAAAAGTTACTCCTCAGGTTGTAATAAGGTATAATACAAGAAACCATGATTACTCTTATTGAGTACTTTAATTTTTTTTGTATAGTATAATAATTCTAGGTAATTGATTGAAAAGTATAGCTTATTGGAGTCACCTTTAAAATATTAAAATATTTAGACTAGTTTATGTCTTTACTTTCAACCCTTCCCAGCAATGACTCAAAAGAAATTCACCCACATGCCTAAAACAAGTAAATCACAAAAAGACAAAATCTAGTTCCATCTGTAGACACGCACATGCAGCAGTTCTCTTTTCTGAAAATCTTTATTATTGCAGTATATGATCTGCAGTATTATTGCAGTATAAGATCTGCAGTATAGTTGTATATAAATCTATATTATTGCAGTATATCTTGTATGATCTTGTATGATCTTCATTCAGTTTTTTAATTGAAATACATGTGCTGTGTTTATATATTGCTGTTTTTAAATGCTGTGCTGTGTTTATAAATTTCTGAAAAGTAAAAACCTGATAATAATGACATTAATATATGATAACAGATAAAAATGATGATGATAATAGAAATAATAATAATAATAATATTAATAATAATTATAATAATAATAATTATAATAATAATTATAATAATAATATAATAATACTTAAAATATTATACAACATTGATGAGATTTTTTTTTTCCTCGATTAAAGTATTTTTACTTACAATAAAAAAAGTTTCACAAGAAAATATGCATAATCCATTATTATTATTATACATAAATTTTATAGATAAAATTTCACTTAATCCACATAACACTTAAGTTATTAAACTTTAAAGAAGACCTAGCACAACAAAATACACATTTAAAAAAAACAAGATTTATAATAGGATTGAAATAGTTTGACCCACATTCCCAAAGTATTGTATAAAAATATATATATTCATGAAATTTCACAGGAATGCTTTTTAGACCAATATGCAATACTAAAATTATGAACAGCCTTTTATGCTGAAAATCTAATTTTTTGGGGGCAACTGACACACCTTAATATATATATATATATATATATATATATATATATATATATATATATATATATATATATATATATATATATATATATATATATATATATATATATAAATATATAAATATATAAATATATAAATATATAAATATATAAATATATATATATATATATATATATATATATATATATATATATATATATATATATATATATATATATATAAATATATAAATATATAAATATATAAATATATAAATATATAAATATATATATATATATATATATATATATATATATATATATATATATATACATATATATATATATATATATATATATTTATACTATAGTGTATATAGATATAAATTTGCCAACCTTTTTGCCTACCTCTATGCAGTTTTTTTTGCAAAAAGAAGAAAAAAAAAAAAAAGAAAAAAAACTTGTTGCTTCCCTAACTCTCAGTTGATGTAACAGCAGCTGCCTCTCATGCTATCCTTATGTAATTATATGCGCTGAAGCCCCCAGCAGCTCCCTATTTTAGTATGATGTCAGAATGCCAACTTAAGTATGCTTTTAGATGTGTGTACATATACTAGGGGTATGACTAAAAAACATATTTCATTTTTTCGGAAATGGCATAGCAACAAAAGATGAACTTTTACTTGTATTAACTTTAAATAATAATACTTTTTTCCAAATCAATAAAAAACTCCCCCACCATTGCAGATGAAAATTTGGTCTCAGCTGTCTAAAAATGCAAAAAATTTAATTTTTGCATTTATAGTAGGGGCAGGGTCACGTAACAAAATTTCAAAAATACCATGAGAGTTATTTTTGTAGCTTGATCTATCTAGTTTAAGATTATATTTTGTTTTTTGGTAAAAATGATAGGAAGAGTTGATCTTAACCCTTTGCAATCATGTGTTTGAGAGGTTGGGGGGGGGGGCTTTTATTTTATTATGCACATTAATTATAAAACATTTTTGTAATTGTACATTTTTTATTTAAAGAAAGACTATTTTATAGTTTTTATCCAAGAATTTTTATCAGTTGTTTAAAATTTTAAACAATTATAAGCTACAACCATTAAGTTTGCTTCCCCGTCTTCTTTTGTTTCTAAACGTTTCAATGGGTTGTTGAGAGTGGGAAGAGAAAAGAAGGAGTCAAAAAAAATTTTGTGAAGTTTTTTTAATTTTTTTGTAAGGGGGCATCAATAAAGTATGTACGCAGTAAAACCTTTGATTTACGACCCCCTCCCTTCTTTTACAAACCTGTATGCTTTTGAAGACACCCCCTTCCCCCGCGTACAAACACATTTTTTTTTTTTCAAAATTAATTTGATTTCTTTTTTCTCTCCTCATTATTTATAAAGAAATTTAAAAAAAATTGTGACTATAGTTTTGTATTTTTTTTTTAAAAAAGATTTTATATAAAAAAATAAATAGAAAAAAGGCAATGCTATAGCCTAAAAGTCTTTAACTTTGTAAGGATATTTTTTAATGATCATGATTGTAAGTTAAAAAAGTGATAATGAAATATTTTGTGCATTAAAAGAAGTGCAACTGTAGTATTACATTATATAGTATGTATTTATGTAGCCTGCATTTGGTCTGAAAAACTTGTCTTTTGAACTTTCAAAAGGCGTTTAGAACATTCAAAAACCTTTAATGTACGTCTTTTTAGAACCGAATGCGGGCTTAATAGGAATATTATTTTTTAAAAATTATTTGTTAGTAATATAGTTAGATATTTAGGATAGTTAGAATGATACGCAAGATAGCAAACTTTAGCTTTATAAATATAAAATTGGCAAAGTGACTTTGTCAGAAGCTACAACTTCGGCAAATTCTTGGCTTTGGTACATCCCTAGTTTTTCCCTACTTTTCCATTAGCCTTTATTTAATTTGTAATGATGCCACCAGGTTAAAAGAATTTCAAAAAAGGACTTCTTCCCTTCATTAAAAATTGAGCCATATTTTAACCATACTGCTTTAAAATTTAGTTATTAGATATGGTTGATAAAGTTCACTTCAAGTTATTTTATTACTCTCCATAGCTATACGTAATTAGAGTATTAGGATAGAGGAGCTGAAGCTAAAAAAATTTTATGACTCCAGCTCCTCTGGTTATGATTAGCTCCAGCTTTTTACCTTGCTCCAGGTAAAAAGTCTGGTTCCTTTGCTTCATGCGCTCGGTTGCGCCTGGCAAATTTGTGTGCTGAATCTTGTAAGTGCAAACTTGCATTAGTTTAGGATAAGTGCGAAACTGCATAAGTAAAAACTGTTTTACGAGCGACAAGTGGTTTAAAACAAAAACTAGTTTTTCCAGCAAAATTCCAATAAACATTTGTTACCAGTGTAAACATTTGTTGCGAGTGTTCCTAACTATCAGATGGAGAAGCAAACTTAATGGTTGTAGCTTATAATTGTTTAAAATTTTAAACAACTGATAAAAAATCTTGGATAAAAACTATAAAATAGTCTTTCTTTAAATAAAAAATGTACAATTACAAAAATGTTTTATAATTAATGTGCATAATAAAATAAAAGCCCCCCCCCAACCTCTCAAACACATAATTGCAAATGGTTAAGATCAACTCTTCCTATCATTTTTACCAAAAAACAAAATATAATCTTAAACTAGATAGATCAAGCTACGAAAATAACTCTCATGGTATTTTTGAAATTTTGTTACGTGACCCTGCCCCTACTATAAATGCAAAAATTAAATTTTTTGCATTTTTAGACAGCTGGGACCAAGTTTTCATCTGGACTGGTGGGGAAGTTTTTTTTTGATTTGGAAAAAAGTATTATTATTTTAAGTTAGTACAAGTAAAAGTTCATCTTTTGTTGCTATGCCATTTCCGAAAAAATGAAATATGTTTTTTAGTCATACGCCTAATATATACAATATGTGACATAATTTTCACTATGTTTGAAAAAAGAAAGAAATTTTTTTAAAAAAAGCTGTGAAGAAAAATGAAATTTTAGTTTTGTTATATAGATTTAAAACTTAGCTAACTGAAAATATTGCTTTTTATTTAAACTTGTATTGAATATTGAGTTTAAAGGATATATGTATTTTAAATTTCTATGTGAAAAGCTAATGATGACAATTTTGTTGTGAATGAAAAAAAATAACATATTGTAGTAAATTAATATTGAATGAATCCTCCCTTAGATTTAGTTACACCCTGAATTCTTTCAGGATCATTAGCAACCAATTTTTGGTTGCTAATGATCTTTCCTCTAGCGTGTTTGAATGTTCTATTTCTCTAGTGTATTTGAGTGCTAAACCTCTTGTTCACAAGCCCAAGGTTAATCCTTATTTTTAGGTGAAGTGGCAAAGTTGTAGACCTGTTGTTTACCTATTGCCCATAAATTTCAAGTAAGTTAAGACCAGGGCTTTATGCTGGCCAGTTAACGATTTTCAATTTCTTATTATGAAGGAATATAATGGTTTTATCAGACTTCTGCTAGGGGTTGTTGTCTTCCTTGAACATTGTGTTGCGTACAGTTCTGCGCCATTTTTAAAATATCTGGTGTTATTCATTGAATTTGTAAAATTATTTGCAGTTTTAGACTCTCCAGAAGCAAATAGACAAGCGATTGTTCTTTGGTCTTAAAGTTTTCTTTCAACTACTTTTAGTCTTATTTACTTCATTGCACAATTTGATTTTGTATATTAAATTACAAAACTTTCTAAACTCAGCAGTGAACTCACGACAAAATTTTCATCATTAGCTCTTCACATAAAAATTTAAAAAAATTCAATATCTTTTATTTTCATGCTGACCTAACTGCTGATCTAAAGTGTTTTAGGTCGGCTAAAAATGTGACTGAATTTTGTCAAATTTTTTTTGTCAACTTCTAACAGTTTAAGTTCAGCAATTAGTTGCAATTTATTTTTCCTAAATCCAAGAGCTGATTTTGTCTGATAACATATTTTATAATGTCTGATGACAATTTGTACAAAACAGATTGAAATATCACAAAAAGAGAAAATTCAGTACACAACTGTTTTTTAAAATTTATATATATAACAATTAATTTTTTTATATTGTAGTTTTATTCAAAAATATATCACTTGACTTTTAGGTACCTAATGGAACTGCTTTGCGACATCTTATGAAAAAATACATGGTATCTTTTACAATTTTTTTAAACAAAGGAAGTAAAATAAATTTAACTTAAAGAAAATAGACATATGGGTTGTAAAATGTACTTAAAATGCAATTTATAATTGTATATTTAATACCATATCAACATCTTTTTATTTATTTAGGGTGACGCAACTGAAATTTATGACATGATAGTAATCGGATCAGTTATTGAGAACTTGATGGGAGATCATTTCAGATCACGCTACAGCACAGATTATCCATATTGCCAATCAAACTATGAAAAATCAAGTGAAATGCACCTATTAAAAAACAGTAATAACTTTAAACATTCTTTATTAATGTAAATGTTATTTTCTAAAATTTTACTAATATATTTTTTTTTTTTTAGTTTTACAAAAAAGTTTATTTCATGAAAACTTACATTTCTTTTATATAGCAAGTAATAAAGATCTCCCATCACCCTATTTGGATTTGTTTACATGGGCTGTTCTTTTGAATAGAAAAGAATTAGCATATCTTATATGGAAACGTACTCGAGATAGCATTGCAACTGCTCTTATGGCTTCAAAGCTTTTAAAAAGTTTAGCTGAGAAAGTTCAAGATAACAAAGAACTGTCTGATATGGTTGAGGACATCATACAACATGCAGTGTAGTTTATTTTAGTTGATAGTTTATTTGTAATTAAAATTTGTTTGTAAATTATGTGATGTAAATAAAATCTTGTCTTGATACTTTTTATGAGAACCTTTCTTTTGTACTTTTTTATAGATTTTATGAGAACTTAGCTGTAGGTGTATTAGAAGAGTGTCGAAAAGATAATGAAGAAGAAGCTCAAACACTGCTTGTTAAAGAAATACCTGAGTTTGGATTTCTTAGCTGTCTTGATATTGCTGTTTCTGCAAATAACCAGGATTTTATAGCGCATTCTAGTTGTCAAACATTACTCAGTAGATTATGGATGGGCGCTCTTTATATAAACACCTCTCTTTGGAAGGTTTGAATATTAAATTTGTTTAAATTAATTTTTTTTGCAAATATTACTTATTCTTTATTCTTTTTTTTTAATTTTATTTCAATATTATTTATTACATTTTTATAAATTTGTAAATATATTGTATGTTTTCTTTTTATAAATGTATAAATATATTATAAACTGTTTTTATAAATGCATATATAGAATATTTAGATTCTCTAACTTCTTCAAGTAAGGTTACAAAATCTAAATTTTTTATTTTCATTTTATCTAATTGAAAAATCATTTACATTCATATTTTTTACTTTTGAAAATTATAAGTTCAAAGTGCAGTTGAGGGCAGTCTGCTCAGTATATATATATATATGTATATATATATATATATATATATATATATATATATATATGCATATATATATATGTATATATATATATATATATATATATATATATATATATACACAGTTTCACAAAGAATTTGATTTCACAAAAAGTATGATTTGTTTTTTTTAGTTTTATAGATAAAATTACTTAAATAACAATAATTTAAATAACTATAAATAAGATGTTCTTGCTAATTGACTTACACTTTTTATGTTGGAGTCCATAGGGACCCCAACTTAATAAGTGTAAATTTTAATATAATAAATTATTTCAAAAAAAAAAGATTAACAATCTTAATTTTATTCTCTTTTACAAAAAATAATACATTTCTTTGTTATGAGCAGAAAAAAATATCTAAACAAATATGTATATATATATATATATATATATATATATATATATATATATATATATATATATATATATATATATATATATATATATATATATGTATATATATGTATATATATATGCATATATATATATATATATGTATATATATATATATATATATATATATATATATATATATATATATATATATATATATATATATATATATATATATATATATATATATATATATATATATATATATATATATATATGTATATATATATATATATATATATATATATATATATATATATATATATATATATATATATTTAAATGTATATTTTAGGTTTTACCTTGCATATTTTTTCCCTTTTTGATAAATATAATAATTTGGTTTCGGGAAGATATGGAAAACAAAAGTATTGATATGCACAGAAAAAGTGTAATCTCATATGATAATACTGCTAAAGAGGTGCACACTGATGCTTTAAATGATCTGAATAATTTAAATCAATCGAAATGTTCACTTCAAAAAAGTTTTTATAGCGCTACAAAAGAAGATATATTTTCAGATGAGAAAAAAGGTAACACAAAAACAGGTTTAAAATAAAGTTTTAATGTATAACATTATTTACAGTATCTAATAATCATTTAATACAATAAACATGTGTTTGTATGTGTACAAAATATTATAGAATTTTTATTAAAATTTCAATTATGAAATTTAACTTCTGTTATCTACTTTTTTCTTTAATCTTCAAATAAAGTTTATTAAAACTCTTGTAATGTCAATTATTTCAAATTGTTTCTGGAAAGTTTTTTCTTGCTTGAATAGTTTTTCCAGTTAAAATTAATAAAGATGAATCAACATTTTATTTGAACTTGAAGATTTTTCTATAAATTTGAATGAATAAGTTCGAATGAAAAAGTTTGAATGAATAAGTTCGAATGAAAAAGTTTGAATGAATAAGTTTGAATAAGTTCTAGCTTTTTAGTATTAATACTTAGTTGTTGATTTTTAATTTCACTGTTTATTAAAATTCTTGCAACCAGTTTTATTTTTAATAATTAAAGTTATTTATTAGTTAAACCTTTTCACTAAAGACTTTTCAATCACTCAAATACTTTAAATAAGCAAGAAAGATTTCAGTAAACATCGAAAAGTTGTAGTTTTTTCAAATTATTGTTTGTTATTGTCTACGTAATATATCATTTACTATTGTTTATTTTCCAACTTTAAAACCTTTCTTTTCAAGTTATTATTTATTTTTTTGCATTGGTTTTTATTAAACAATTTTGTAAAAAGGACTAAGTACTAAGTATTTCATATTTTTTTAGTACTTCATGATTTTGATGATGAGCCTGAAGCTTTTAGTGCACATGAAAAACATGGTTTCTTTTTAAAAATGATCCACTTCTACAATGCTCCATTTGTTAAGTTTATTGTTAATTTGGTAAGGATTGTCTTTACACAATAATAGACTTGAACCTTTTTTTTTAATGTTTTTAAATCATTTTTAGTTTTTCTTTTGAATTTGTTATGATTGTAAATTTTAGATTTTATGTTATGATTGTGTTTTATATTATAATAATATATATTTTTTTTATAATTTAGATTATAAATTATTTAATTATTTTAATTACTATTTTGAAGATTTCTTATGCATCATTTTTGGCTCTTTTTGCATTTGTTATACTTTTACATTTTCGAATTGAAATCCACAATTCTGAGTATGTTTTACAATTCTGGGCATTTACTTTATTATGTGAAGAAATACACCAACTCATTATTGGAGAATCAGATACATTTTATGGAAAGATGACAATCTACTGTTCTAATCCTTGGAATACATTTGAAATTCTTGCATTAAATGGCTTTTTGTTGGGTACTATATACAGATACCTTGCAAATAAATATTTGAACTTTAACTATCTTATTATTGCTAGAATTATATATGCTTTTGACATAATGATTTTCATAATCCGTATGTTAAAAATTTATTCTGTTAACAGAAACATGGGACCAAAGTTAGTAATGATAAGGAAAATGGTAAAAATATTTTTTTTTAGAATTTTGTTAAGTTAAAGATTTGGTTTTAAAATTTATTATTATGTTGTTTTGCTGAGCAAATAAATAATTTATAAAAGTAAATAAAATTTTGACGTTGAAACACACATACAAAATTAAGCAAAATTTGTTTAACCATCTTTATTGAAGTGAAAAAAGTTGATTCTTTATTTATTTTGATATTATTTTATTATTAGCTGAGATTGGACCCATAATAATACAGGTCTTTGTAAGTCGATTCCAAACCAAACTCTTTATACTTTTTTTTTGATATATCTTTCCGGTTTCCGGATCCATAAAACATGGGTCTTTACCAAACTTATCATTTCTATACACATCTATTCCACACCAATTATTTCTATACCTATTCCTTATTTGCTTCAATATTTTTTAGTAAAATAATTTTGATCTGAAAAAAAACTTTAAAAGCAAAAAAATTAACATGCGCACCTTTTACATACATACATTTATAAGAGACTTATAATTAGGTTTGTTTTTCAGCTAAATGCATTTAATTGATAGCTTAGTGGTTAACTGCGTTGTCATCAGTGTTGTTTTAGAGGGTTTAAGACCTCCTCTTAGTGTAACAAATTTTAAAATTTTTTCAATCTTGCTTATATATTTATAGTAAAAAATAATAACATAGCAAAAATTATTTCTAAAATTTAAAATAAAGTTTTCTCATTTTATAGATATATTATACATGATTAATCCATATAATGCCTGCAAACTCAACATATGCTAAAGACGCTTACACTTACAGACGTTTGTACATAATGTTATACAAATGGAACTAAGACCACTAAAACATAGTCATAAAAAAAAAATTTATTCCTATGATTAAAAACTAAAGAATATAATTCTTATAATTCTAATCTAAAAGTCAAGTCAAAAAGATTTTTTGCATTAACGTTGGTTTGTGGCAAAATAAACCTTTATGCGTCAAGTTTCCTTTAGCATTAATCTTACATTTTTTGATTAATTTTAATTATGTTGCATACAAATGCATAAATATATAAAAAACTGGTACAGATATATCATTTTCACAGATAAGAGATATTTATTACAACAGTAATGAATAAATAGTGACTTTCTTAGAATATATCCATAACGATATATTCCATATATCTATTTTTAATAGAAAAAGTTTTAAAAAAAATTAAATAAAATCTTATTTCTAGTTTGTTTTTCTAGTTTTTTGTCACAAATTGACGTCACATACGCAAAAAAATTGTGGCTTCAACGATTTACAAAATAGCCTTGAGTATCATTTTTAAAGGTCTAAAATACAACAAAATTTAAAAAAAAGTTAGTTTATATTAAAATTCAAAAATGATTTATATAATATTTTTTTGCAAACACCATTACACTATATTAAAATTTTTAAAGTGCACTGAACTAAAATTACTTTTAACTTTTTTGGTTTAGTGGCTTTTTTTAAGAGATTTAAATTTTGTGTCAAATTATCTCATTTCAACATATTTGTTGTATCATCCTTACTGCTGTCGTTTTTCAAAATGCTTTAGGGTAAAAAAATCAATTTTGAGTTTTTACAAAATAAGCTAATTTAGATGTCTACAAACTTTATTGAATTCATATTTTCAAAGAGTTCTAAAAAAATTTTAAAGAGTTCTAAAATGTATATATATATATATATATATAAATATATATATATATATATAAATATATATATATATATATAAATATATATATATATAAATATATATATATATATATATATATATATATATATATATATATATATATATATATATATATATATATATATATATATATATATATATATATATATATATATATATATATATATATATATATATATATATATATATGTATATATATATATATATAATTGCAGCAATTTTTTGTTAGTTTTTTTTTTTTTTTTTTTTTTTTTGTAATTCATGCATTAGATTTTTTTTTTTTTTTTGTTTAGTTACGTGATCTGAGTTATTTTTTGATGATTTTTGCTGTTTTTTTAATTGGATTTGGTGTTGCTCAGCAAGTACTTTTACACCCGAATTCTCAACCATATAAAGCATTTGTTGGAATCTTTAATCATCCTTATTGGTATATTTATGGTCAATTAAATTTTGATGAAATATTTGGTAAGTTCAATTTTTGTCAAATTTTTTTAAACAGAAGCTTCATACAGTTACAAGTAAGTAATATTTATGTGCAATCATACCACTACAGTTTTTTGTATATGCAATCATACCACTTTATAAATCTATATCAATTAATCAAATGTTTTTTGAAAATAGCTATTTCACAGATATTCACAAGTATACACCTAAAATACTTATTATTTAATATATACTTGATGATAATATTTTAATATAAATACAGTGGCAAACTGGTTAAATATGTTTTAACAACCAAGTAAATAATTTAGGAGCCCTCCGAGCATACATATACTGTTACAAAATCACAAACTAATCAATTTATAATGAATTAAAATTAACTAACTATTTTATAAGCAGTTTGCTCAATTCAGTGGACAAAGATGCATATCTTTGAATAATTGTATCACACTCAAGGCTGTCAAGTAGACTTTTCTTAACAGACATCAACATATATGACTTTATAAGATCATTCAAAGTAGAACTTTGCAGTCTTATCTTGATTAACTTAAATTTTGAAAACAATTTTTCACATTCAACTTGTGTTACAGAGGTAGTACAGATTATCTTATAAATGTGTTACAAATTGTCAAAGGTTTTGTTATTGAGTCTATATGCAGCCAGAATTTGTAACACAAGATGTATTTGTACAGAATTTGTAACACAGAATTGCACATTTGCACAGAATTTGTAACACAGAATTTGTAACACAAGATGGATAAGATTTAAATGGTCCATTAGTATGTTGCTGATAATGCTATTTCTATATGTCATCATTTTGATCTGCATTGGCTCTTAATGTTGTTGTTAAAAGCATGGACAGTTTTAAATTGTCCTAGTTATTCACAAAAGGCAACAGTTCTGCCTTCATTTCATCAACATCTAATAATTATTAATGTTGTGTATACCGTTTTCTGGAACTTCTAAAATCACAAGATCGCCCAAGTTTGCTATAACCATATATATATAACCGACATAACGTTAAATGGGACTCAAGACTTTAGACTGCCTAATCCATCACAACATTGTAAGTGTGAATTTTTAAAAACATAACCAGACGGTCTTTTCTGCCAGCTTTACTTTTGCACTTACATTTTTTCTAAAATTTCTACTAAAATTAATCATAATTGGCTAATAGTTGTATTATAATTTTCTTCTTCATTGTCTAATGAATAAGCACCTTCATTCCAATGATCTCAGAATGGAAACGTTTGCTTACATAAATGTTTGATGATACCAATAACTTGTGAAAGGATTTCTTTCCAAATCAATACATCATTATTATGTTTCTTTATTCCTGCACTAAAAAATCTGCCAAAGCCTTAATCATTCATTATATGAATGTAATCAAGAACATGCCTGTGGTGAGTGCTGCTTGATTTGTGATCAGTTACCCGTTGACTAACAAATAAAAAATTAAAATCAAAGCCAAACATACATATTTTGTTAGAAAGTTTAACAAAAAACTGTTTTCAAACCGATTTAAACAATTTTAGAGAAGTTAAATTTCACTCAATGTTAAGTAAGTTCAAGAGTAGAAATTCTATTGTTTCCTTTTACTGTTTTTTAATTCTGTAAAAGAATGTGTTTATTAACTCAAAAATGTTAAGCAACTTTCTCCATTTTAACAACAATAAAATGTTAAGAATGCATCAATTGCTTTCTTTAAGAAAGAAATTGTTGCATTCTTAAAATTTTACTGTTATCAAGCTCTAATAAAATAGCTTACTAATAAACATATGCTTTATATGTATATAAATAATTTTGTAATGAAATGTAAATAATTAGCTGCAGGAGTATTTTTTTGTATTTTTTTATTTTTAAGTTTTTTAAGAATATTTATCATTTAAAATTTTTTAGGTGGAGCAGAAGTTATTATCCCTCTTTACCCTTTTTTATTGATTTAAAAAGTCATAGGATCATACTTTTTTTTTGTTTTAATCATCTTGGGAATAAAGTGCAGTAGTTAGAAATTAGTATATTGAATATTTGTAGTTTTATGTAGAAATAAAATATCCCATTTTATTGATGCAATAAAGTTTGATATTGAATTGTAATCAACTTTTTTGTAACAAAATGATTGAGATTCACTTTTGGAAAACAGTTCTCAAACTAAGAATTTCCAAGTGGTACTAAAATGACACTTTGTGTTATTGTCTAGTATAGTACTAGGAGACGAGTTTAAAATAGAATTACTGTTGTATGTAAATAACAAGTCCAACATATTATTTGAGAAACCATCGTCAGTCTGTAAAGAAAATGTGATTTGTTGTTTAAAAAGGCTGTTTAGGTAAATATTCCAGAAGTCATACTTGGTAGGATTGTTTGGGTTGAAAGATTTAATATCATCATTAGACCACTTTATATTTTTGAGTTTAAAATCACCGACAATTAAACAGTCATCTTAGGGTTTCTTAATTAAGCTATGAGCTAACTTCAAGGATTTAGCAACATATTTTATTAAAGTAGCATCATTTGGTTTATATATACATCCGATAAGTATATGTTATTGTTAACTTTTACAGATACCAGATACCTGACTTATTCGAGAAGATTTGTATAAAATTAATTAACTTCACGAGAGTTATATGCGTCATTAATGTAGAAAGCTGCACCACCATCTCGATGTCTGTCTTGGCGATCTTTGCGATATTGGTTACAAGCATCAATATTTGTACTGAATTATTTTGAAACCATGTTTCAGAACAGCAATAACATTATAATCAAATATTCTAGAAATTAAATCGGCCAATTTATTATCAAGAGATGTTGCATTAACATTGCAATAACAATTAACGATATAATTTATTTTTTTGACATGAAGGTTTTAACTTTTGTTTTTTAAGTTTGCTGTTGAAAAATGTTGTGAATGTTTATGTAGTGGTTTGTATATTTTTGCGTTTGACATCTCCACTGCTTTGTATACTACATCTAAAGGGCGATGTTTTTAATTTAATATTACTTTTAATTTATTACGCTTCATTCTTAACTGATAATTTAAATATCTTTCAGCCTCATTCAAATCTGGGCTCATAAAATTTTTTTTAAAATTATCTGAATTTTTCAATAAATTTGCTGCTGTTAGTGATGGGTTTCTATCGGAAAATATATAAATGTGTTTATAGTGACTGTATAATTAATATATATATATATATATATATATATATATATATATATATATATATATATATATATATATATATATATATACATACATACATATACATAAACACTCACACACGCATATACTCACAGGCACACACAAATTATCTATAAATCTGTCTATAAATTCAAGTAAATAAATAACTCAACAGTTGTTAATAAAATCTATTTTAATTACTTTCTTAGTAAATAAGTTAGCCAGTAGTAACATTTGCTTAATATAAACAGATGATATTAATGAAGATAAAAACTTAATGAAAAGTATAAAAAAGTACTAACAAAGTACTAAATAAAAAGTATTAAAAATTATTATAACAAAAACTAATTATCATTAAACTAGTACAATGATAAATAATTTGATTGCAAAAAAGTCTTAAATAATATAACTAATAGTTATATATTTACGCTGTAACCAATAAATTGGTGTACAAAGTACTTAAAGTTGTACAAAGTACTTAGAGTGTACCAAATATTTAGCAGTAGTTGTATAGTGGTAGAGCACTCGCTTCATAAATGAGAAGTTCCTAAATCAATGGTCACTATATTCCTAAAAGTACCACACTTGGTTGCTGTGTTTCTCAGCACAGCAGCCAAGGTTCCTGTTTTGGAATTAAAAAGAAATATTCGGCTTGGCTCCGGCTCCTGAACTTTATTAACAAAATCGCAAACTTTGGAATTTTTTTTTTGGTCACATATGCTAACCCAAAACTATACCAATTACAGCAAATAATTTTTAACCAACTCTCATGATTACAAGGTTATTGTATTATTATCACTACTCCACTACAGAATATTGCATTTAAAAATTTTTTTTTTTTGGGTAAATAAACACTTTTTTCTTTATATTATTTACACAAAACTAGAGTTTTTAGTTCAAATTTTTCGTTTTAATTATACCCAGGGCCACGGTACCTAAAAAAGACACCTTTTGAACCTCCCAAAGAGTTCCAAAATGTTCAAAAGGCATCAAAAACCTTCAAAAGATGTTTAAAAAACGTCTTTCTTATGCCCTCACTGAGTCCAGTGCCCGCTGGGTATCCAGTGGGCACAGGACCTAAAAAAAATTGTATTTTAAATGTTTGAAAAATGTCCGAAACGTTCAAAAGATGTATAAAATAATTTAAAGGCGTTTAAATGACCTCTTTTGTATGTCCCATTCCTTTTGGGAAAACATGCGGTCAAAACAATAAAAAATTTGAAAAAAAAAAAGTTCAACCAATGCAAAACTAAAAAAATTATTTATTTTAATCTAAAGAACTTGAAGATTATAAAAAAGCTTTTTATTTTAACATTTTTCTTCATTTCAAATAAATAAGCAAACATTTACGCTAATTAACGACATCAACTTTTGCAGTGTCTTGAGAAATTTTTTTTTGTTACCAATGTCCACTCTCTAATCAAATCTTTATCTGTATTTATTTCTTTGGCAATTTTACGCAAATATCCTTTATATACGCAAATAACCAATTCCCCAAAATTTCTCAATGGGACGGAGCTGTGTGCAGATTGATGGATTCAAGCTTTTTGGTATGAATTTGACGTCTTTTAAATTGTACCACTCTACTTGGATTAATGACAAGAAGCAAGATTAGGCTAACAGGGGACATCGTGACTTCAATAAAATTGCAAAAGTCTAGCTTGCAAGTATTCTTTGATGTAAATATCCAAGTTTAAAGTTGGCGGTGTGACAAAAGCTTGAGATCTCAAACCACAACTGCATATTGCTTGCCAAATTTTAAGCTTTAAAAAACTCTGAAATTTTATACCATTTGGCTTGTTCTCTGTTGGATAAGCTGGGATTTTGTGTGAATGGTTGTTGAATACTAATTGCTGCATTCTAATTTTTAAAGCCACTCTCTCGTCCGAATCTTTTTGCTCGTTTGATAGATAGAGAACTCTTGTTTTGTTTTATGACAATACAAACAGTAGTTTTTCTAAATTCAGTTGCTTTAGCAATTGAAAGTAACAATACAGAAGGATTTTTGAAATAGTTGTGCAGTAGTTTTAATGACATTTTAATTTAAAGAAACATATTGACTCCTTTTTTGATGTTTTTATCAGGAAAACAAGATGAAGGAAGCAAATTCCAAAGAACTGATGTTCGAGGAAAAAAACTAGAGGAATAAGAGTTTTTGGAGCACTTAGGAACAGTCACAGATAAAGGATGAGACTTAATTGAATGAGTAACACAAGAATGAATTTTAGTAGATGACACAAGAGACACTAGCTCTTTAGAGCAGTGCCCATTACAGTATTTGTAGAAAAGAGAAAGAGAAGCAACATTACAACAATGTGATAATGGTTGAAGGATGGCTGCAAGAGCAAGTCGAACTATGTTTACAATGCGTTTTTGCACCTTGTCTAAAAGAGAAAGGGCATTATTAGAAGATCCGCCCCAGATGTGGCAACAGTATTCTATACAAGGCCAGATTTGAGATTTATAGAGATAGAGAATAGAATCCAGAGTATGAGCTTGATAAAAAGATGCAACTTTAGCAGATGCTAATTTTGCAAGGGATTTGATATATGATTTCCTAGAAAGATCAAAAGTAGGAGTTAATCCTAGAAGATGAAGGGTAGATGACTCATTGAGTACATTATCGTTCATAAATATAGGAAGGTTTAAATTATTGCAATAACGATTGGCTGAAATTTTTTTTATCTGAATTAAAGTTCACCAGCCACTGTGAGCCCCATGCTGTAGCAGAAGTGAGATCCTTTTCAAGCTCAAATGCCCCCTCCAAGCAATCAGAGATTGTTGGCTTCTTATCATGAAAAGAAACCTTTGATCATTATATTGCGCATCAAATATTTAACAGAATAGTATCAGTATAAAAATATAATGTAAAGCAATATATGCAACACTCTAATGTTTCCATATATATTTTACTTATTTTTTTTAATGGAGCATAATAAAAAATGCTATAAAAGGATAGTATTTTGTTGAGCACAAAATTTTAAAAATATTCATTTTTATTACGTTTTGGCAAGACTGTAACTGTTAGATAAAATATTTAAAAAAAAATAGAAATTTAATGAATAATTTATTCAATAAGTTAGTTAAACAATAAATGAATAAAGTTTGTCTCCAGTAAAAAAAAACAACATACATACATGCATACATACATACATACATACATACATACATACATACATGCATACATACATATATACATGCATACATGCATATATACATATATGTGTGAGCGTGTATGTATATATATATATATATATATATATATATATATATATATATATATATATATATATATATATATATATATATATATATATATATATATATATATATATATATACATATATGCATTTTATGTAGGTGATAATTCAACGTGCAATGGCGAAGGACCTGCATGTTATCAACATGACGCAGATGATTATGTGTTTTACATACTTCCGCTATGCTTGGCTGTTTATTTGATATTTACTAACATCTTATTACTTAATCTACTGATTGCAATATTTAAGTATGTTTTTAAATATTAAGTATGTTATTTATAAATATTTAAATATGTTAATGTTTAATATTTATTATGTTATTTTTTAATATTTAAGTATGTTATTTTTAAATATTTAAGTATGCTATTTTTAAATATTTAAGTATTTTATTTTTAGACATTTAAGTATGTTATTTTTAAATATTTAAGTATGTTATTTTTAGATATTTAAGTATGTTATTTTTAAATATTTAAGTATGTTATTTTTTTAAATTTTTGTTACTTTATTTACATAAATTTGTTAGTTTTAAAAGTAATCGGTTAATTTTTTTCTTTTTAAGTTATACATTTAGCAAGATAATAGAAGATTCTGATAAAGTTTGGAAATTCCAAAGATTTGATTTGATTTTAGAGTTCCATAATCGTCCAGCATTTTGTCCCCCATTTATTATTATTTCTCATTTATATTTACTCATTAAATGGTTTTTGAAGATATGCTTCAATCCTAGTGCTGCTAAAAGTTCCTCAATGCGTAAGTTTTGAAAAAGTTATTAATGTTTATTCAAAAAAATCCTTTTTAGGTTTGTTTAAAAAAGTGTTTTTTTATTTACTGCAGGCATTCACCTTTTTCCTGAGGAAATGGAGCAGTTGTTACTTTGGGAGCATACAGCTGCTGAGGCATTCTGTTATAAAACCACAATAAAAGAAGCAGAGACACAAGATGAGAGAGTTAAAAATATTTTAAATAGGTTTTTTTTTTTTTAATTTTTATCCTTTTTTGTAGTTTTCCATTTAGAATCTTTTTTTTTTGTTGAGTTTTATTAAAAAACCATATATTAAAAAACCATATATTAAAAAAGTTGAATATTGAACCAAATAAAATTTATGAATACTGATCCAAATAAAAACAAATTTCATATTTCACAACATTTTATCATAGTCATAATATAAGATAGTCTGGCCAGTTGGGCCGTTTTTGCAATATTCTATTGTTTTTAAACAATAAAAATTAAAACTTTGAATTTATGTTGAAAATCGTTTATTTATTGTGCCCAGACTACCAATAAGTGCACATAAATCTATAAAATGGCGAACTCAAAAGATAAATAGTGCTTCGATTATTTCATATTAGATCTAGAATCAGATATATTTTTTTGTAAACTCAAGTTTATCAATAATTTCAGTTCTTTTCTCGTTAAAATTTGGAGTAAAAACGCTTCAACCAAATTCATTTTCACCAGTGAATGATAAAAGTCGGAGCATAAATTCAAATGCTACATAACAAAGCAACATTCAAATAGTTTCTCTTTAACTCAGCAAATTAAAACACAAACTGATATTAAGCAAACGTGTTCTTGAAATAGGTTCATGAATTTTGTTTAAAAAACATTTTTATTGTTACAAACTATCTTTGCTGCGACCTTTTATGCAAAGAAATTCATCAATTTTGTTTTAAAAAACATTCTTATTGTTAAAAACGATCTTTGCTGCCTTCCATATATCAGAGATGAGCTTTCAAAGTACATATTTTTAAAAGATAATACAAAGCTATTATTCAAGTTAATAAAATGAAGTTATTAAAATTATTTAAAGTGAAGTTGAAGTTTTTTATCCAAAATTTATAGTTACAGATCAGAAAGTATTTTTCTAACAGATCCTCACCTCTAGTAGGATATAAACTTGCTAATCATGTTTAAAAAGAGAAAAAGAAAAAAATTTAGTTCAATGTTTTGGTTGTTACGTATTTAGTACTTTTTATGGAAGAATTTGTTAGTCAAAAAAAAAAAACAAAAAAAAACCTAGAAAGGGTTTTTAAACTCCATCGAATAAATATTAGACATTTAATAAAGGTTATTTTGATAACCAAAAAATTTGTTAAAAACATTCTAGCATTTGAACTGTATTGTAGTATGATTGAAAGATGCAATAATAAAGTGAAAATCAAATAAAGTTGTGTAATTTTTTACTTTAAATAATATTATTGTATAATGTAATGAATAAAGCAATTTGTTTGACTACTTAAGTAGTTTATTAATTTTTTCGGGATTTTATTTATAAAATTTTGAAATTTTATTAAGACTTCTTTGCATCACTTTTCCTTCACATAACTTCAACCTAACAGATCACTTTTTCACATAACTTCAACCTAACAGATCACTTAGAAACAAAATTCATGAACTTATTTTTAGAACGCACACACACACACACACACACACACACACACACACACACACACACACACACACACACACACACACACACACACACACACACACACACACAACCACACACACACACACATATATAAATATATGTGTGTGTGTGTGTGGATAATATATATAGATAAATAGATATATATATATAGATATTTATATATATATATACATTTGCCATTATTATTTGTGAATAGAAACAAAATTCATGAACTTATTTCTAGAACGCACACACACACACACACACACACACACACACATATATAAATATATGTGTGTGTGTGTGTGTGTGTGTGTGTGCGTTCTAGAAATAAGTTCATGAATTTTGTTTCTATTCACAAATAATAATGGCAAATGTATATATATATATATATATATCTATATATATATATCTATCTATATATATATATATATATATATATATATATATATATATATATATATATATATATATATATATATATATATATATATATATATATATATATATATATATATATATATATATATATTTATATATGTGTGTGTGTGTGTGTGTGTGTGTGTGTGCGTTCTAGAAATAAGTTCATGAATTTTGTTTCTATTCACAAATAATAATGGCAAATGTATATATATATATATATATATATATATATATATATATATATATATATATATATATATATATATATATATATATATATATATATATATATATATATATATATATATATATATATATATATATATATGTATATATATATATATATATATGTATATATATATTTATACACATATATATGTGTGTATATATATGTATATGTGTGTGTGTATATATATATATATATATATATATATATATATATATATATATATATATATATATATATATATATGCGTATATATATTTATGTATATATATTTATGTATATATATATATATATATTATATATATATATATATATATATATATATATATATATATATATTTATATATATATTTATATATATATATATATATATATATATATATATATATATATATATATATATATATATATATATATATATATATATATATATATATATATATATATATATATATTTATGTGTATATATATAAACACATCTTTTTATATTCTTGCATTGAAGATTTTTATCTTTTATTATATACCAAATAATGTTTTTATAAGATTTGTTGCTTGTAAAATAGCCACAAAATAGCTTTGATATTTTTTTATAATGAAATAAGGTTAGACACAACTGTATTAAGCATTGATCTTTTTTAATGTAAATATTTAAATATTGACTTTCGTCTTCTTCAGAAGAAAAAATTGATTTCTTTGAGTTGAGCTTTAGTAATATGAGTAACTACTATATTCTGCCTAAAAAAGGATTTGCCAATGAAAAGCTTTCAACTGGTTGATTTATTGAAGGTAGTAAACCTGTCGATCCAACAAAAAAGTTATCTGATATCATATTTTATTATTAGTTATAATATATTATAACTAAAGATATATTTTTATTTATAATTTGTAAAACTTTTCTTCTTGACTCTTTGTTATAAACATCATCATCAGAAGAAAATATTTCAAATAGAAAAAGATTTATACTTCTTCGAGAAGTTCCAGAACCAAATATGTAACAATTAAGACGAGGCATTTGCAAAAATCAAGGATAAGTCAATAATCTTCTTGTAAATATTCTTCTTAATGCGCATTTGTTTACAAAAAGTGTGCACTCATTGGTAGACTGGGTTCTAAAAAAAAGCTAACAATAAGATAAACAATAGCGCTCTTAAACTGGCTGGACTATGTATATTATGACTATGATTTTATGCACCAAAAAACGTTTTTCTAACATGTAATAAAAAAATTTTTTATCACCTTGATACTTTTTGCATATTTTTTTTCAATATTTTTATTAATAAAGAAGTTTTGTAGCTTTTAGTTTACCTTTTTCAGAGTCAATCTTTTGGCAGAAAAAGTAGATTTGCAAAGGAATGATTTTAAAGAAAGCTTTATGCATGAGCATAATTCTAAAGATATTAGTGAAAGTGTTGAGTTACGACTTTCGAAGGTTGAGCAAAATATGGAAAAGATTTTAGAACTGTTAATTCAACAAAAAGAAAACCACGGTAATAGTTTCAGCTTTTATTCACGCATTTTTAATAATTTTATACTGATGTGTATTGGTAATAACTCTATAGTTATTAACTTTTTTTTTCCTAATATTTTTCTTAAAACTATATTATTAAGTTGAGTATTTTTTGAAATTTTAAAATATCAGAGTTTTATTAGTGCCTAACTGCCCATGGATAGATGCAGAATTTGGTGTGCATTGATGAAGCCACATAAGGAATCTTGTTATAACTTTAGGTTTAGTAACAGGAACAAAAAAACTTATAGTCAACTTTTTATCTAGAGTGCTAAGTACTATCTCTGCATCATTGTATTTCTGAAAATTTAGATCAAGGTTTTGCACATAAAAACCATTTTCCACCACCCAATTTTGTATAATAATCTATTGCAAATATGGCTTTTTTTCAAGTAATTTTTTGACTGGTAATCTTATTTTTACCAAAATTACTAAATCTACTAACACTTTGTGAGATTGTTTGAAATTTTATACTTGGATATCAGTGCTATTGCTGCAGATTTCTGAAAATTCTAACAGTAACATTCCTGGAAATGTACTGGTATATAAGTTCACTTACTTGTCATTAAGTCAGGTTTGAGTTATAGTTATTTATTGAGTTATAGATATAGTTATAGTTATATATATATAGTTATTATTGAGTTGAGTTATAGTTATAGTTAGTTCATCTTTTAGGCTTACACCACTTATCTCTGCTTTATGCCACTTCACTGGCTTTTCTTTTTGCTTTTAATTAATAAATATCTTTTTTTATGTTAAATAGTTTTGTCAACAAAGCTTAAAATTTCATATTTCAAACATATTTGTTTTTATTATTTTATGTCTTGTTGGATTATCTTTAACTATTGACTTCCATGAAAGCCACATATCTAATCTATTTTGGCCATCATATTTTTATATACTTAATATTTAATACTTAATACTTATATACTTAATATATAAAACTGTCTTTATATCTTATATTGTTATCATATTTTGGCTCGATCTTTTAATAACTTCTATTCTCTTTTAAATAGGGTACCAAAATGGATTCTAAATAAAGTTGGAACTACTATTGCACCTAAGTTTAAGTCTTGTTGTAAAATTTTTTTTTATACATTTACTACCATGATCACTGCACAAATGAGCTATTATCTTTTATTTTTCAATATCATATGACTCATTTACCATATTGCATTTCTTTTCTGTAACTTTTCTTCATTTTAATAAACGATATTTAAGTCAGTCGACAACAAAACATACACACACGCATGTTTATCTTTAGCTTTATTATACTATGTCACTCACTCAATCGTTACAACCTTTCTTCTTATATTTAACACTTTAGCTCTTTATACTCACTTAGACCAGCTCCATTGCCTTCATTTATTAGTGAAATATACGTAAACAATTTTTAAATTTTATAAATTATTTTGCTTGAAGTTTGTGCTTTTTTTTGACTAGACATCTGTCCAACATCTTTTGATTAGACTTTTTAAAAAATACTGACTCTAATATAATCTTTTCTCTTTCTTCCCTGAAGCTCCTACAGCCGAGTGTGTTCCACAAAAGTAACTGGTTTTCGAGTCCAGTTGCGAATTATATACAATTTTCCTTCAATTATGCTTATAATTCATAACTGGACTCGAAAACCAGTTACTTTAATGGAACACAATAGGCCGTAGGAGCCTCAGGGAAGAAAGAGAAAAGATTATATTAGAGTCAGCATAAAAAAGAAATTACAAAGATGTCGGACAGATGTCCAGTAAAAAAGCACAAAACTTCAAGCAGGGTTAGGGTTAGGGTTTGTTGTCATATTTGGGCTGGTTCTTCTAACGATTCACTTTCTCTTCTTGACAAGGTCCAAAAATGCATTGTAAATGTTGTTGGACCTGGACTATCTGCTAAGCTTGAACCTCTTTCCCATCGTCGTAAAGTTGCATCACTTTCTCTTTTCTACAAATACTATCATGGTCACTGCTCAAAGGAGTTATCATCTCTAGTTCCATCAACTAAAATTCATTCTCGTTTTACTCGTCATTCAGCTAAGTCTCATTCGTTTACTGTATCTGTCCCTGCATGCTTTAAAAACTTTTATTCATCTAGTTTTTTTCCCCGCACTTCAATCCTTTGGAACTCTCTCCCATCTTCATGTTTTCCTGACTCATACAACCTTCAACTTTTCAAGTCTTCTGTCAACCGTTTCCTTGCTCTATAACTCTGTTCTTTTTTTTTCCTAGTAACTCCCAACTTAATAGTGGTTGCTTGCAGCCTTGTTGGGAGTGAATGCAAATAAAAAAAAAAAAAAAAAAAAAACTCATACATTTATTTTTATCCCCCCAAAAAAATGCCTAAAAATTCTCAATATTTTCCTGAATCAAAATAGACTTTTTTTTCAAATCTTTTGCAAATATCTTTTTTTGAAAACTTGTGACTTAAATAGTAGATGCTTTAGACTAATGTTTCGTAACCTGCTTTCAAAATGTATTGAAAAAATGAGTATGTATTCATTTTGGCATAAAAATCAACAAATGTTAGATTGCATAATGTTGTAACAATGTTGTAATGGAACAATGTTGTAATGTAACAATGTTGCAATACATACAATACATTTCATTTTTCACCTAAGTTAACAATGTTGCAATACAATAATATTTTATCTAGAGTCTAAAATGCTTAGTTGAGTTAAAATTATTTTTCATTTAAATTATTCATTAAATTAAAGAATATAAGTTTTTTTAATTTTTTTTTTTAGTTTCTTTTTATTTCTAGTAGGGAAAGTATAACCTAAATTATGATGTAAACAAAAGTCCTAAATTTAAATGTAACTAAAATCAAAAGATAGTTAATTTTATTCTGAAAGGACAGAATGTAATCCAGAATTTAAAAAAACTGGAATAACAGCATTTCATAAAATTTAGGTAAATATAAAATATAAAATTTAGATAAGTAGTAAATTTATTTAAGAGTAAAAAAAGGAAGTTCTAAACTATAATACCATCATAATCACTGATAACAGAACCAAGTCAGTTATTTTGATTTGGTATCTATCTGATACTAAAACCAAGTCAGAAAGGTGAGAAAAGTCTCTAAAAACAATAGTATTGGCAGATAAGTAAATAGAAAAAGCTTAATGGAATTCACAGAAACGACATCAAAGTGAGAATATTTTTTAAGAAAATACAATTTTGAAAACAATAACGAATAGAGACAAATATGAATAAATATAGTCGTGCTAACAAAAAGTCTATAAAAGATATAAAAAAGTCTACAGTTTTTATAAGATTATAAAAGGCAAAGTCTATAAAAAGCAACTGGGGGAAGGGGGAGGGCAGCAGGGGGAGGGCAGCAGGGGGATTTGCCCCTCCCCTAATAATTTTTTAAATTATTAATTTTGAAAAAATTGACTAAAAAAATGACTAAAAAAAACAAAAAGGTCCTCAAAACTATTTCTGGTAGTACTGCCTCCTCCCCCCCCCCCCCCCAATATAATTTTTGTTCCTATGGGCCTGACATATACAATAAGTCAAAAAAGTGTATCACCTCTTAAATAATTACTTTTCTAATATAAAGTTAATGATCTATTTGTGCCCTTTTTGCTTTGATTACTGCAAGATATTTTTTAGACATTGAATCTACTAATTTTTTAAGCCATTGTGGGTCAAATTTTTCTCACTCCTTATGAGAATTGCCTTTTGCGACAAGCAAGATGGTTTTTGATCAGCTACATTAATTTTAAAAAGATTCCATAAACTTTTAATCGGATTTAGGTCTGGTGACTGAATTCAATCTAACATCTTATTACTGTTTGTTTTTTCAACCATGAGTAGCTAAATTTGATGTATGTTTAGGATCTCCATCCTTTTGAAAGATAAAATTGCAAGATAACCCAGCACTTCTGGCGCTTGATCTCAGATTTTGCTGCAGAATATCAATATAAACCTCTTTTGTCATTATTCCGTCAATGAATTCAAGTTTGCCAACACCACTCCAAGCAAAGGAGCCCCTAACCATCATTTGACCTATGATAAGAGGAAAAAATAAGTTAAAAGTATATATAATATTGAAATGTTTTAATAAAGCTTAATGATACATCCTCCATGCTTGACAATTGGTCTCATACATTTAGGGTTTAGGCGTTTTTTCTCTATTTGCGTATGATACCATCAGAATGAAACAAACATATTTTCGTTTCATCGAACCATAAAACTCTTCCCCATTGATCAGTAGTCCAATTTAAATGTTTTTTAGCTCAAGCCAATCTTTTCTTTTGATTCTTTTTACTCAAAAAGGGCTTTTTTGAAGCAATTCTACCTACAAAACATTGATTTTTCAAGAGATTGCAAACAGTTTGAAGATTTACAGTTATACCATGATCTGTTTCTACGATCTCTTGGAAGCTTTGGTGCAGATAATCTTCAATCTTGTTCAACTTTTTAAATAATTTCTCTATCAATGCGTAAGGTAGTCTTAGATAGGCGTCCTTTTCTTGGCAAATTTTTTACAGTACCCATTTGTTTATATTTTCTTATGATATTTCCAACACTATTAGGCTAAACATCTACTATTTTAGAAATAGTTTTATATCCTTTTCCACTTTTATAGTGTCTCAGGATCAGTTCTTTTACTGATTCATGAATTTCTTATCTTTTCACCATGATTTTTTTATTAAGAACCTAAAAAGAAAACAAACTTTGCTGAAAAATTAGTTAGAATATCTACTATCAATAAAATTTGTTTGTTTTAGGCTTTTTTTCTGCAATTTTACAAAGTTATATAACAGAAAAGTTAAAAAATGATTAGAGGGTGATTTTGACTTTTTTTAATTTAGTGAATAATTTTTGTTTTAAGTATAAGAATAATAATTTTTTGTTACAAAATTTTTTTTTGTTTTAAATTCAATATTAAAAATAAATATTGAGGTCCAAAATCTAAATTTAAGCATATAAAAATATGTTTTTATTGAAAAATCATCACAGGGTGATTTTTTGAAATACTGTATGTCTAATTCAAGCGTATAGTTGTCTTAGTACATTAAAAGTTTTACTTGAGATGTTTTAAATGTTTGAGGCATGTTTTAAATTATTACCGTGTACATTATAAATAAATTCAGAACACTTAGTTTTTTATTTAATTAAGTTTTACAAGAAATAAAAAAATTTTACCAGTTATCTAATCTCTTTTTTTTCTTTCTAAATAATGTTCAAAAGAAAAATTAAATAGATGTTGAATTAATTTAGTGGGATTGAATTTTAAAATTATTATCAAAATAATTTTCTAATATTTTAAAAATTTTAGAAACAGAAATACAATATTTATTAGCCAGACTTCTAATAAATAAAGGGTAAATGATTCAAGTTATTGTACAAAAGCACATGTCTTAACAACAACACAAAAGTTTATAATTTTAAATTACTTAAATTACTTAATGAGTATGCTAATTTGTTGTTGACCACCTGTAGTTGACTTATAGAAGCTAAAAGCATGAAAACAAGTTTAAATTATTTAAAAGAATAATTTTTTCACAGATTTCAAAAAATTTCACAGATGATATCACATCTGTGAAAATTTTTATATTAAAGTTGCACTTTATTTAAAGACTGTAATATGTATTAAATGTATGTGTACAACTTTTCGAAATAATTTTTTTTATCATATTTGTATATCATTTTATAATTAATTATTAGGAGTGGTTTCTGATGCTAATGAAAACAACAACTCACATCATTCTGTTCAAAGTTTGATAACAAACATTCATACTAAGTCTCGTCTTTCACCATATCCTGGTTCGACAATACATCGATTTAAAGTTCCTGATGATTTAGTTTCTTGGAAGGTTAATTACTTAAATATTTATTTTTTGTGCTCACATCAGTTCAAGTATTTATATTTCAGCGAAGTAAATTACATTTGAAAATAAATTTTTATTTTTAATTTATTTAGACTGCATTTCCTGAGTATTCCCCTGTTCTGTATACATCTCCTGTTGTTTTAAAACAGCCATATTGGGCTGATATTGATTTGATGACTCTGTAAGTAAAGAAGATATTTATCCTACCATTATTTTGTTTTTAACTCATGCATAAATTTATAACTGATATAAATATTTAAATAACCTTTATGAAGGAATCCCAGACCAAATTTATGTTTCAATACGTATGATGAACAAGCGCAAGTTAATCGCGTAAGTCATTGTGGATTATATGAAATCATTGATGGATTACCAAGGTATTATTGTAATATTTTTGTAGATAATATTTTTATTACATTTAAAATAAAATTGTTAAAATGCTTAATAATTATTTAATATAGTTAATTATTAGCTGTTGTTTTTATTTGCATATTGATGTATTAAATTACTTTTGTCTTAAACTTTTGTAATAATTTCTTTTAGAAATCCATATGGCAGAACAGGTATTGTTGGTCGAGGTATTCTTGGACGATTTGGACCAAATCATGCTGCAGATCCTATTGCTACAAGGTAAAGGCCAAATAATTTTTTAAAACGTTCTGAAATTCTTTGCGTATTAAATGAATAAGCTTATCTATTACATTTTTATAACACTTCAAATACATGTGTGTGTTTATAAATATGTATTAAGCTGGATTTGATGGACATAAATTTATATTTTATTATTATATTTATATAAATTTATTATTTCTTTATGTAAAACTCAGGAAAGTTTAAACTTTTACAGATTAAACAATGTGTCCTACCTCATACTTCATTTAAACAATGTGTTCTACCTCATACTTCATTTAAACAATGTGTTCTACCTCATACTTCATTTAAACAATGTGTTCTACCTCATACTTCATTTAAACAATGTGTTCTACCTCATACTTCATTTAAACAATGTGTTCTACCTCATACTTCATTAGAAAAATTTCTAGGGTCCTTAAATTACCATGTTATATGTTTTTAAAACTATGTCATGTTGGTACTCAAAAATAGCAGATTGAATAGTTTTGAAAAAAAAAAAGTTATTGAATATTTTTAAAAAAATTGAAAAAACAATTGAATTTTTATAGATTTGCACAAAAAGAGATCCACTTAAGTAATAAATTCTAATATCTAAAATTTTTTTATAGTATTAGGGTATCGATCATTTTCCAAATAAAACTTGGGTAAACATGGTTTCATCAAAAAAGTGTAAAATTTTATGAATCACTGTATTAATATATATATATATATATATATATATATATATATATATATATATATATATATATATATATATATATATATATATATATATATATATATATATCTGATATTAAAGGAAGTGACGAAAGAATAGGTTAATAATAATTTACATAGAAAGTAATAACTAAACAGAAAGTGTCATTTGGACATGGTTGACTTGTTTAGTCAAACCAGGTTTTAACCATTCTATGAACATGCTTTCTTTAACTCATTCTGTGAACATGCTTTCGAACTTGTTAGATGCTGAATCTAAAACGAAAAAATACTTTTCATTGAATTGCATAAAACAATTTTCATTACCATGGAGATGTTTATAGATATGTGATTTTTTGTCTCTCTTATAATGTTCAGTTATTCGTGTCTTGAGATGGCGAGTAGTTTTACCTATAAACAGGAGTTACATCCTGCGCATACGAAATTGTAGACCACGAACAATTTGAACTCTAGAGAAATAGGATCTTTAGAGAAAAAAATTTTTGAAACTTTTAGTGAGACAAAAACTAGTTTAAAGTTTACAGAACAGCAATATCTTTTAACAATTTAAAAAAAAAGATTGAATTTTAACGATTCAATCTTTTTTTTTAGTTAATTCCAATATTTTTCCTAAAAATGGTAGTTTAAAGGAAGATGAAGACTCTTCGATTTTTGGTTGTGATGGATTGTTTGTGTTAATTTTGTTTAAATAAGATTTATATATTTTCGATATTAGCCAAGATGGATACATGTTTCTTTAAAAAACTTTGAAAAGGTTGTTTATGTCGGAGTTAAACCCTAGATTAGTACTATTGATTTTAAATGTTCTATCGATTAAGCATTTGATAGGACTGACTCTGTACGAAAGCGGAGTGAAACTACAAAAATTGATGTGTAGACCAGAGTAGGTTTTTTTATGAAAAACTGTAGTAACTGTAGAATTTATTTCGTGTAAAGTTACGTCCAAGAAGGATATTTTCAAATTGACTTCTTGTTCCATGGTGAAAGAAATAGAATTGTGTCTACTATTTATATAATTAAGGAAAATATGTGCTTCATTTTCTGACTGAAAAGCAGCAAAAATGTCATCAACATATCGTTTATAGAAAACTGGTTTAACACCATTGGAATTTTTAATCCAGTCATTTTCAAAATGACCCATAAACAAATTGGCAAAACAGATGCTAGTGGAGAGCCCATGGCTACACCATCTATTTCTTTAATGTAGGAAAATGAATCTTTATGAAATGAATGGAAAACTCTGTGTTTATTAATGGAGTTAACAATTCTCTAAGAAATTTGGCTAGTTGATAATTGTAGGTTCCAATAGATAATACAACAGGTCTGAAGTTTATGAGGAAGTTAACTTGTGCATCTTTGGAAGACCATAGATACAAGCAGGATGGGATAGGGAAGAATGAATTCTGTTGTATGTGGAATCATTGAAAAAACCTGTTGCTTTTAGTTTCCTCAGAAAATTTTGAAGTTGAATTTCTCTATTTAAGGTTACATCTTTCTTAAGTTGCTTAAATTTTGTTTTGTCATTAATAATTTTATAAATACCATTTACGTAAAATTTCTTATCTTATATTACTACGCCATTACCTTTATCACGTTTTAGAATAATAATAATTGGATTATTTGAAAGTTTTTTTAATATTCCATGTTTTTTTAATATTCCATGTTTTTTTAATATTCCATGTTTTTTTAATATTCCATGTTTTTTCAGAGTTTCTTGAGAAGGACAATAATTGTAAATAGGAAATAATAATAGGAAAGTTCAGCTTTAAGTTTTCCTGAATCTTCATTATTTTTCAGTTTTGTTTGAAGAGAGTGATTAAATAGTTTGAATGAATAGTAAATGCGGTAGTGGTGTAGTGGTAGAGCGCTCGCTTCATAAACGAGTGGTTCCGAGTTCGATCCCCACCACGTCCCTGGTAGTACCGCGCTCAACTCGTTTCTCCGCGCAGCAGCCTTGTTCATCAAGGTTCGTGTTTCGGAGTTATAGAGTTGAGAGAGGGTTATAACCACAAATAAGTAGTCTCCTCGTCTGTAGTGGCCTTCTCGGCCTTGAGGAGGTGAATTAAAATTAAAAAAAATAAAAAATAAAATAAAATATCAGTACATTTAGGATATTTTGGTGGAATAGAAAACTGTAAACCATTTTTAAGGATGTCTATTTCATCATCAGAGAGTTTGTACGAAGAGCGATTAGTTATGATATCTGAAATATTAAAAGGATTTGTATGACCAGTTGTTAATCTTTTTAATTTCTTCTCATGTATTTTTATAATTTTATCTTTTTCTTTTTGTGTATTAGATCTTAACGCCATAATTAAAATAAACCAATCAAACAAAGAAATAGTCATTTTTATGCGATCTTGTAAAGTATTAATTTCCTTACATAATTGTAATTTTTCCTTGTTGCGTTTTTGTAATGCACTCCTTAGTAATCTTTTTCTTATAAAATGAGAATCAAATTTTGAGACGCCAGGTAAATTAAATATATATATATATATATATATATATATATATATATACATATATTTACATATATATATTTATATAAGTATAAATATAAATATATATATATATATATATATATATATATATATATGTATATATATACATATATGTATATATATACATATATGTATATATACACATATATGTAAATATATAAATATATATATATATATATATATATATATATATATATATATATATATATATATATATATATATGTATATATATATATATATATGTGTGTGTGTATATATAAATATGTATGCCACCATCAGTTGCATTAGTTAAATATTTTCAAAAATTTGTCTTGACTAAGTAAATATAACTTAAAATAAACTTCGATGTTCGAAATTTCGAACATCTAACTGAACATCGAACTGTATGGTATTCTCCATTTTACCATATATACATATTCATATATATATATATATATATATATATATATATATATATATATATATATATATATATATATATATATATATATATATACATACATATACATATATATATATATATAAACCTACTTATATATATACATATATGTATATATACATATATATATATATATATATATAGAATATAAGAAGCATTGTAAGCGTTTGTCTCTTCACTTAAAAGTTAGTTTTCTTATAGTGATTGCCACAACTGGACACATTACTTGTTTGGTGGTTTAGAAGAAAAAAATAAAAGTTTACATCATATGTCACATTTTACCCCATTTTTCCTCTAGTATGGGGAAAAAATATTTTTTTTCTAAAGATTTTTAAATGATAAATAATTTTTTTTATTTAATGCTATTAACTTTTTACTTGTAGCTTGTTTTGTAATTTGTCATTAAAAAAAAGTGTTTTTGTTTTAATCATTTTTGCCAGTTTTTTGATGACTCTTCCTTAAGTACCCCATTATACCCCAGTTTCCTCTATATATATAGTAAAATATTTTACTATATATATAGAGGAAACTGGGGTATAATGGGGTTGTATAGTGTGTTTGTATATATATATATATATATATATATATATATATATATATATATATATATATATATATATATATATATATATATATATATATATATATATATATATATATATATATATATATAGATGGAAGCGAAATAGCTCAGGAATTCTTTTGGATAATGGAAAAAAGGTTTTAGAGTTTATTGCAATTCAACGTCGTGATAACCAACAATGGGCAATACCAGGGGTATTTATTTTTTTATTCATTACAGTTTAGAGTTTTGTATTATTAGAAAATATTTAAGAGTTTTTAAGTTTTGCTTTTAAATTTTTCTAACTGCAGTGGCATGCAGTGTTAAATTGCTGAGTATACATTTCCACATTTGTTAGTAAAATCTGTCATATCGAATTTATATTTTACATACTCTTTTTGGGTTATGATTTTAAATTTTGTCTTATTAATCTTTGTTATGTAAAATTACATTGATTTTTTTTGTAGGGTATGGTTGAACCAGGAGAAAAGATATCTGAAACACTTAGAAAAGAGTTTGCTGAAGAAGCTTTAGCCAAGTTAGAGATGAGTGAAGATAAACAAAAAGAAATTTCTGATAAAATTACTTTTCTGTTTAGAAATGGCATTGAGGTATTATATACAACAGATTAATTTAGATATTTATGTATTTGTTATGTATTATGTAAAACATAACAATATATAGATATTAATAGATTAAAGGTGCCAATACTATAAATTTATATTATTGCTATTTTAACCAGCATTTTATTATTATATTAAAAAAAAATAATGCACTCAATGGTGGAGGGGACACAAGTTTTCAACTTTGAAAAAAGTGTATATAAACTTGGAACAATAGAGTAAAATGCAAATAGATTAAATATAGTTATAAATTGTAATATCAAAACATGGAATTATATTCGATTATATATCAAAACATGGAGTTATAGTAGATTATGTATCAGATTATTAAAATATAGAGATATAGTATGATATGTTATATAAATTTAATGGTCATTTTAAGTGTAAAATTGAGCAGCAGCGAATTTAAGAATGTGCTGCCCTAGCCACTTTATAAGAATTTCAGTGTAATTTGAATTGAAATAAAATGCACATTTTATTATTTAATGAGTTTTATTTATATTTTTTTTCTAATTTTTTCATTTACAAATTTATTAATTATGTATCCAAACTCAATTTTCTTTTAAACATTGTGTTCAATGGGCATAATCAAAACGTCATTTAATTTGGTTTCTTTCATTTGTCAACATAGATAAATTTTTATTTTTTTAAAGAAAATGAACTTTCAGCAAAACAGTTTGTAACTGCTAGTGACAGATAAGAAGATCATTTCCAAATTTCACAACACCAGTTCAAAAAAAAAATTGAACTGGTTTGCAATACTTCTTTTATATTTGGGCATATTATCTTACTGTAAAAGCTGTCTAAAGTTAAGAATTTCTTTAATTAGTTCCTCACAGTCTAAATAAATTTCATAAAAATTGTACAAATTTTTTTTTTTTTATAATTACATTGGTATCAATAAACATATATTTTTGAGATATCTAAACTTTTCATTCAAAAAATGAACTTTTTTGTATTAAGCTTTTGTAATTCTTTTAGCAAAACTGATATAATTTTATCAAATACATTATTTTTCAATAACTCATTTAGATCGTCTATCTGTTATAATCTCATTTTCTTTGGATTCATCAAAATGCATTTTCCTTTTTATACTTCTTTTCTGTTCATAACCAGAGCTATCCGAAATTGTCAAAGCTTTTTCTTGAAATCTAAGAAAATTTTCCTTCATTTCTAAGAAGTATTTTAATGACGAATCATATAGCTGAACAACAGTAAGCAGGTTTGTATAAGTGGTTTGCAACTTTTTATTTACACTGTCAAAACGTTATTAAATAGTTTGTCAAATAGTAAGAAACTTCAGTACAAATCAATACTTCAGTACAAATCAATACTTTTTCCAAATTGTCACTTTTAATATTTTTAAGTATATCAATTGTCTCTTTATAATATGGAAACAAGGCTCTGTAGACATTATCTGACACTCTTTGATCTAGCTGATCAAAGAGTTTCAGATAAGGTCTTTGGTACTTTTTTAGTTGGCCCTAATTTTGCTTTCAATAGAGCCTATCATTTTGTTGACACACTAAAGAAAAAATAAATTTTTTGAGTTAGTATGAAAAAAAAAAAAAAACTCAGCTTCTGTGTAACACTTTGCAGCACATTAAATAACTAAATTTATAGAATGACAAGCACATGGAACAAAAAATTTTGGGTTTTATGCTGTTGTAGATTCTGAACTTATTATTTGCATTACAGTTATGTCCAAAAAGCATGTTTAAACACCAGTTTTAATCTCTTTGGCATGGAGTCTATTTGTGTTTTTTACACAATTCAACAGTTATTTCAGTGCGTCAAACTTGTTTCAGCCAATACATGAGATCCTACATATTTGATGCATGAATGATGCCACTGTTCTTTTTATGATACACTAAAGATTCTCAATTGGATTAATATCAGGAGAGTTTATTTTGTTTTTCTTAAACCAGGTGATTATGACTTAATCGTTATGACACGGAACCGAGTCCTGCTGGAACTTATTACACTTCTGTATGGCTATGATGGGTCTCTGCTTGTTTTACAAGATTGTCTTGTACTTGGCTGCATTCACAGTTTCCCTTTTTGGAATGAAATGTATGCTGCCACGGCCAGCAGCAGACATATCATTCCAAACCATTTTTTTGGTGAATGTTTCATGGTTGGCATGGTTTAATATGGTTGGTTTGTACCTTGCACCAGATGGACATCTAACTCCAGTAACCCTAACCAAACTGGCAAAACGTCAACTCATCACTGAAGAGTACTTTTTCCCACTAGGCAGGCGTCCAATGTATGTGCTTCTTGCAAAATAGCACTCGTTTCAAACTCTAAACATCATTCAGCAATGATCTCTTAGCGGGTGCTCTTTGACGTAGCTGGAAGTTATCCACAAGTTGTCGACAAACGGTACAAGTACTAACTCAAACAGGATATTTCGGATGATACTGCAAATGGTTAGGTAACTGTTGCAAGTTTAATGACATTGTCATCACTTTGGCTGGTTTTCCTGTGTCTTCCTGAGCCTCTTCTGCAGTTGCTACTACTAATTTATCTGAACCTTTTTACAATATGACCCACTGTAGATTTGTGAATATCCATTTTCTCAGCAATATTCTGATATTTTGTGGCATCATTTGCATAGGCAATAAAAACAGATGCTTTTCTTGGAGTAATGTCTTTCATTTTAACCATTTAAATGTAATTAAATAAATAATATTTCTGAATAGAATAGAGTTCAACAGAATATACAATAAGTCACAAACACAAAAAATGATAAAAAGTAAAAATATAAGTGAAAATAAATGTTCATTCTCCTTATAAGCAATATTCCGGTAACTTACACATAATAATTATTAATTTACCAAGGTCTAAAATGGGTAGAATGATAAGATAAAACTATAAAAACTAATTTTTTTTGTTGTCTCTTTTTTCGACTTTTAAGGCCATGACTGTATCATAATTGTCATTGCAATCTGCCAAATTTAATTTAAATTTATTCAAAAACTTCAAACATTTCATCCACTTTATAATAATGTTGGTTATAAAGTGGACGAAATGTTTGAAGTTTTTGAATAAATTCAAATTAATGTTACATTGTCAAAAAAATTTAAAAATTAGTCCAGTGTTATGATGAAATCAATATCAACATCGAATTATCAATGGTAATTGGTCAGTGTGAGAAGTACCAGGTATCGAATCAACAATTATAGAGAAATATTTTGTTTTTTTTATATCACTGATTAATTTGTTTCTCATTTATATTCTAATTATATTAATAAGTTCATCATATATTGTATGAAATTTTTTCAGAACCACAATTTCTATACTTTAGTATATGCTCTTTCAAAAAGGAATTATATTCAAAAAGGAATCATTTCTAGTGACATCATAAAAATTTCATGATTTTCATACGATTTTTCACTGTCTTCTCAAAAAGGTAATTCCCGGCCACATAGCTTTTTTATGACAAAGACAATTCTATTTTAAAACAATTTTCCAATAATCCAAATTCCGATCTCCAATATTCAAATATTCCAATATTCCATTATTTCATATTATTCAATTTCTTATTATTCAATATTCCAATATTCCACATTCATTCCGATATTCCAAAACATTCCAATCTACTTCTTTTTTTTACATTTTTGAGCAAAAAATGTTTCCACACTTTCACTCATGTTATTTTTTTCAATCATAATCGTAGCACAACGGTAGAAGAATTTTTGTGGGATTTGTGGAATTGTGAAATATTTTTCCAGTCCAAGCATCCACCCTTATAGAAAAAGAACTATTATCTTCAAATAAATAACAAGGAATGCAAAGAAGAGCCTTATCAGACTGAATTTAATAAGTAATCTCTTCTATGAGTTTCTCCATTTTTTAATTTTTTCAAAAAATTATGCATGTTCAAACAATAATATTTTTCACCAAATAGTTTTTTCGATGTACACAAATCAACATTCTTATTGGATGTGAAACCAAATATTACAACAAAATCAATTAAGGATTTGTCAATATTTTGTTTACCAGGATCATTACTTATAGATATTATGGTACTGATGTTCATATTTTCAATGTAAAGTATGACTGTATTTTTGTAGATTCTTCAATAATTTTTCTTTGTTTTGTTAATTTCTCTTTTGCCTTCTGACAAAACTTTGCACCATCTAATCTCATCCTTCTGTCACTCATTTCAATAAATGAATAAACAATTTTTTTAAGTTTAAATAATATTAAAAAAAAATTTCAAAACAAGTTTGAAAACTATATATATATATTTATATTTGAAGAAAGCTTATTTATTTAGAAAAATCACTGAGAGCTTTTTGTTTAATAATGACAGTTGATCTAATTGTTTAAAGCCCCCATTATTGATGTCATTGCTTGGTTTCCAAAAAACCAAACAATGACAACAAGAAGCATTCCTTTGAAAAATATTTGTGAGTTTGTTTCAAAAAAAGAGTTTTTGTTGATAAAAATTTTGTAGTAATGATCTTAGACTGAGAACTAATAAAATACTTAAAAACTAAAAGTTTTTTAACTAAATTCGCTTCTCTCAGTGCAAAAATGGCAGAGAATCCTCCACATTGCATTCAATGGTTTGAATATACTGATTATACTTCTTTACTAAATGGCTGTTAACAGCACTTTAACTGAACTTAAAAGAAAATAAAAAGACTAGGTGATAGAAGTTTTCCTAATGATAAAAGTCACAGCTATTTTTCTACATGTTTTAATTAGACTAAAATTGTTCGTTTAAAGTTTTCAAAGTTTATAAAATGAGAGGGTTTTTATTTTACATGGTTTTAACTTTTCAACACTAAAATAAATGAAGTTTAAAATTTTTTGAAAATAAAGTTTACAATATGTAATAGTAAAAAACTTAGTAATATATTACCTTCATAATTAGTGCTGTTGAATGAAGAGGCTCAAGTTACTTGGTTTTCATTGATACAAGGCTAAAATAACTGCAAGTTTTCTTCCGATCTGAAAGTTAATTCTCAAAAGCAAAAAAGACTCAATCCCGATATTAGTAACATAAGGTATATGGTATAATACATAAGTATCATATTATGCATATAGTATAAATAACACAATGTAAAAAAGTTCTTGCCCATATTTTTCAATGTTTAATAACACTAGTCAACAAAAAAATACTTTTTGAATGTACCATGAATCTAAATAGCTTTTTTAAACCAGTTTTTTGCGCTGATTTTAAATCTGCTTTCAGTATTCTTCCAGCACATCTAATTCTTGAGATATTTGGAATTTTAATTTTCGGACATTCTGTACTTTATCTCTATACATAAACATTGATAAACATTCAATATTTCAAGCACCACTTATGTTTCTATACAAATAAGTCAAAGTCTCGGTGACTAGGTTTATTTGTAAACATTTATACACATTTAATAGATTAAAGAATGTTGACTAAAGCATATAAATGACTTAAAATCTCTGTGAATATGACTTCCTTTTGTATACTTTTTCTGATTCATCACGATAAAGCATCCAACAGTAATCAGCTAACATGCTTTCATTCCAGAATCCTTTTGTAATGTTTTTCCATCACTTGAATATCTTGGTGGAATAGTTCATCACTCACAATACCCAAATTTTCAGGAAAAAATGACAAATGCAAATGCAGAAAATGAATTTTCAATGACATACGACAGCTCACTTTTTGGAACGAATCTAGTAGCTTTTGAATACAATTTTTATATTCACACGATTTGTGATTCCCCAAGAAGTTCTTACAAACCCATACAAATGCTTTCCACGCTATTTTTTTGTTGGAAGTAAGTGACTCTTCAAATCCATGGTCTTTCAAAACCTCTCGAATTTAGGGTTCGAATTTAGGGTTCAAAAAATGCCTTCTTTGAGCTTTGCTGTACTAATTTTGGGAAATTTTTCAACCAAGTATTAAAAACCCCCTGATTTAGTTTTACCTAATGTTTTTACAAAGTTTTTCATCAAATCAAGCTTGATGTGAAGCGGTGGCAAAAATATTTTGTCTGGATCAGCCAGCAAAATATGGTGAACGCTGCTTACACCGGGTTGGTATTCAGTTCTCAACATCCAATCACGTTTTTGTTAATGTTCGTTCACAACACAACTATCCCATAAGCAAAGAAAGCAGCAAAACTTGGTAAACCCTATTTGCATACCCATTAACATACCAATCACTTTCAAATCACCACAATTGCACCATTGATGAGTTTTGTAATATATTTTATATTTATTTAAAATATATTACAAAACTTATCATGGTTCATATTTTCGTGAGTTTCATTTTTAAGTGTATGGAATGAGTGATTAGAATACATGGCTTCTGATTGCCAATATGCAACAACACGGTCTTCAAACTCCTCTTGGATGAATCAATGAAGAGGCGCCAGTCACGAGGCAAATGCACTTGGGATAAATTTTCAAAAAGAACATTGACATTATTGCAGTAGCACAAGAGTCCATCAATGGTGAAAACCTAGATAAATTGTTGTTGCGCTTTTAAAAGTGGGATACTTTGACACCAACTGCTAACAAATTTTTTTTATTTCAGTCTTGACGCCAAAAATTCAGCTTTTTCCTTGGAAAGGGAAAAGTCTCTAACCAAATCATTCAGTTCACCTTGTGTGAAAACTTTGGGCTCTTTGCCATCAATATCTGGATCAAAGTCAACATCAGCTGCATCTTGATGTTCAATATCACCAACACATTCGTCTTCAACAGAGTCTAGTCCATCAGCTGGTGGTACAGGAATGAGCAGGGTGCTGTCATGAGGAACAGGCCTCATGGCCGAATCCAAATTCGAGTACACAATTTGGTGCTTATTTTTTGACAAAAATCTAGCAGTATTAACAGCGCAAAAATAGCAGTCAATTTAATGATCTTTTGGTTCCTTCCAAATCATTGGTATAGCAATTGAAAAGAAGACCTTTGTTTGTTGATCCAATCTCATAATAAGTTGCATCAACTATAACAAGCCACATGTGGTGTCCAAGTTTTTTATCTTCCAAAGGACAACCAAAATACAGCTTATAAATTTTAAAGATTTCTGGAGAGATTTTCTTTTGCTGTCCTAACAATTTAAATTGCCCACAAATGTAGCAAAAGGCTTCTGGTGAATTTTTGCAATTTTTAGGCATTGTATAAGTTAATTTTATTAAAATAATTACCCTGAAAATAAAGAAACATTAGTAACACTGAAACTATACTTTAACACTGAAACTATATTTTAGTGCAAAAAATATACATTCATTATCTCAAGATTCAGACTGGAGAAAAACTCACAGATTTGGAATCTAGAAAAACTAAACACAGATTTGGAATCTAGAAAAACTAAACACAGATTTGGAATCTAGAAAAACTAAACACAGATTTGGAATCTAGAAAAACTAAACACAGATTTGGAATCGAAAAACTAAACACAGATTTGGAATCTAGAAAAACTAAACACAGATTTGGAATCAGCGTTTAGTTTTTCTCCAGTCTGAATCTTGAGATAATGAATGAGTTTGCATTTAAACATTACACTGGTCAACAATAAATATGTACCAGCTTTAAAAATTAAAGCTGGTGCAAATTCATTGTTGACCAGTGTAATGTTTAATAATTCCAGTGTTTAATAATTTTTAAATTTATAATTCAATATAATTTTTTGCTATATACTCTTTCCTTAAGATCAGATGTGTTTTGATGATTATTTTCTTGCAATGCACACCAAGCTTCTTTTTTATCTTTACTTATTGCTCTATCAAATTTCGCTGACTTTAACATTGCTTTTATTTGGGGTACATCATATATAGTAGTTTTGATTTTTTTCTCAGATAGCATGGAAGAATAAAAATGAAAATAAAGGGACAATGGATTTTTTTGTAATAATTAACATCATCCCATAACCAAAGAAAACATAAATTCTTTGTGTATTCCCTTTGCAAAACAAGAAAGCAAGAAAGCAAGTATCTTAAAATCACCACAAACACCTCATTTGAATTCAAAATAAATAGTTTTGTCATAACTCTGAGATTATCATTGTCTTATTTTTTACCAAGTGTACAGAAGGCAAAGATTTATTTTCATTGTGGAGTAACACTGCTTTGAGTTTTTACTCTGAGCTATCTATAAACAGTTGCCATTCTGCCGGATCTCGCTTGAGTTTAAGAGTAGTAAATAAACCAGTCATAACTTTACAATAACATAGGTTAATAAAAAAGTCATAGCGTATATCAAATTCTTTATGTCTTTTCTGGTACACAAGTCCTGTAATCTTTGCCTAGTATATTTCATTTCATCAGCCTTAATGAAAGAAATTCAGCTCCTTAGTTAGTAAGACATTAATCTTTAATTTAATCATCCAACTAACTTTTATTTGGAAAGTGAGACTGAGAAGTTGTTATTGGCATTTCAAAAAATCAATCATACAAAAGTAACTGTCATTGCTCATCACACTTGTGGAGTGGCATTGAGAGGAATCTTTCTTTATCTTACCTCATAACCATTTAGCTAGAGTAGTTAAACAGATTCCACATATCACTTGAGGAACATATAACATGTCCTTATCGTTTATGGGCATTTCAAAAAATTTTGCATACACTATTCACAATATGGATATGGTTTTTATGATTTTATGTTATATCTGCTTTTTGTCAATATAATATCCACCTACATAGCCAATCAGAACTTACTTATCACAAATACGTATATAAATTGTATTAGATATGTATTTAGAGAAGCTTAAGACGTTTTAAAAACAAATTACTTTGGCCTTGGGTGCTAACTTTTATTGTGTATTTGATAACAGCAATGCAAAATGTTCTTACATTTTATAAGTAATTTTTTAACACATAAATGGAAAACCTCATGTTGAAAGTACCTATTAATGACATATTTTTCTGTCTACTCTATACCTATTATTTGCCTTGTAACCTTTAGTAACAATAATGAGACTAATGCTGAAAACCTTTTTTTTTTCAAAGTAATAAATTTTTTTATTAAGTTTTTTTTTTTTTTTTTAAATGTAAGTTATGAGGTTATCAAAAATAATGAAAGTTTAAGATCTCTATGTTATATTTGTGTAGCCAGGACTCAAAAAGTTTTTTTAAGATTTGTATTCTGAAAAATTTTTATCCCTTATTATATTATTTAAAATTAAAATAATATCTACATAAAATACCCTTGAAAAGCCATGAATTACTGGTACTTCTGATTTATGGCCCAAACAGCTCAATAAATAAGACAAATCTGTATCCACTTTTTTTTTAGTAGTTTGCAAAATGCAATACCTTTTGAAAAATTTCTGTAAAAGTTTTGTATAAGCATTTAAAGGTATATTTGATAAGATGACAAGTTTCACTCGAAGTTATTTTTACTTTTTAAGTATTCTTTTTAAAAATTTAAATACAGTCGTAGCTTATTTATTTTCACTTTTGTTCTTTATTTATTGGTTATGTATTGGTTATATTAGTCAGTTAATATTAATAGTAAAAATTATTTTTAACTTAAGGTGTACAAAGGTTATGTCGATGATCCTCGAAATACAGATAATGCTTGGATGGAGACTGTAGCATATAACTTTCATGATGATACAGGAGAAGTATTTGGAGAGCTTCAGCTACATGTATTTAATTTTGTCTAATTTAATTTGTTTATAATTAATAAAAAGTTAAAAGTGATATGATATACATGTAAACCATCATAACACTTCAGTGCCCCCCAATAATTCAAACTTCTAGTGAAGTATTTTTAATCCCCATTAAATCTCACTTAATTATTAAAGGCATTTATTATTGAACATTCGCTAGGTTATTGATTTTTATCTGTCTCTGCAGCTTATATTCTGCTGATAACCTCAACTTTAGAGGTGAAAAAAAAAATCATAGTGAAATTTATTCCATTTTTTATTTTATTTTTTTTTGTTATTAAGTCAAATTTTTTCCTGGGTAAATAATTTTTTGCTTGATCTACCAAGCAAACTGCATATTTAAGCTTTTACTCGAGCAACCAATGGACCAATGGCATTATGTGGTATAAGAACATTTAGGCATTTTAAAAAAAAAATTTGCTTCTAATGTTATGAAAATGCATCAAAACTACTTATTTATTACATTTGTTAAGTTGCGTATTATTTTAATAAATAACTTAAAATTATAATAAATTATATCAAAATTATAACATGAAAGTTCTACTTGTTGAAATACTGGTTTATAGTGTAAGTTATGATTAGATGCGTTGAAATATCTTAATAGAATTTTTTTGTTTACATAATACAATGGCTATTGTTTATGCAAAGAGAAAATATAACATAAAATCAATCAAAAAAAAAGTTGCTTAAATTTTAAGTTTTTTCATTTAAATTTCAAAATTTAATTTAAAATTAAATTAATTCAATATTAAAGATGATTCTTACATATAGGAAATTCAAATTGCAAGCAAAATATTCAAATATAAAGTTTAATTTTTTTTCACGCAGTTATTTTTTTAAATTAATTTATTTCTACCTTTTACTGTTGACAACTTCATATCCAAGTTGTTAAATATTTAATTATTAAAAGTTGTGATGTTGAAAAGTGAAAACAGCAGATTGGCTTTCTTAGTGATTTTTTTTACTTTATACTGTTTTTTAATGCATTTCTTGAAGTTTTTTTTACAATTTAATATTGTGAAATAATAAACATTATATATGGGAAACCTTTAAAATAAGGAAAGAAAGTCATCAATAAAGAGTACTTGTGTAGTTTAAAATCTGTATTGTGAATAATAAAAGTTATCTCAATGTAAATATAAAAATTTCACTGTTAGAAAAAGAAAAATCTTAATTTTTGTTTAAAAATTTCATAATTCTTAAGGAGTTGATAGCAATAATAGTCGAAGGAAATTATATTAAGACATCGTCTGTAATGATTGTTACGCAAAACATTTACCTCTGGACAATTGCTTATAATGCTTATAATATATATATATATATATATATATATATACATATATATATATATATATATATACATATATATATATATATATATATATATATATATATATATATATATATATATATATATATATATATATATATATATATATCTAGTATAGCATATTTATATGCGCAATTGCTCACTTTTTTTGCTAGCCTAAATTAAGTGAGCATTTTTAAAAAACGATGAGAGAAAATGAAGAATAATGAATGAAAAGGTTGTTGACCCATACCAAACCCTCAGTCGATGTAGCAGCACTCCACTGCGAGTCAGGCTATTTGTCAGTCGATGTATGTACTGAAGCCCCCAGCAGCAGGCTATTTGACTTAGGTGAGTATGACATCATCATGCTCACCTAACTCAGCAGTATAAGATATATACATATTTATATATCTATATATATCTATATATATAACATTTACCTCTGGACAATTACTTTTAATGCTTATAATATATATATATATATATATATATATATATATATATATATATATATATATATATATATATATATATATTTATATATATTTATATATATATGTATATATATATATGAGGGTACAGCTCTAAACCTCAGTTTTATGGTTCTGAGGCCGGCTGGTAGTCAGGTTTCTCGAACTCTGTGGTAGCTCTCAGAGAGGCTGATTCCATCAACAGCTGAAAAATATCAGAGTACTAACAGTGCCATGTTGCGCATGGATGGTGTCCCTCCATGTCATCACCAAGTTCGCTAAACCTATCATTCACCAATATTTGTGGTCTTCGTAGTAACTTTTCTTCTGTTAAATCTTATCTCTTGCAAAGTTCACCAGACCTACTTGCACTTTGTGAGACTAATTTGAGTTCAGCTGTCTCATCTTGTGATCTTAGTGTTGATGGTTATCTTTCTTTAATTCGTAAAGACTCCAATAGTCACATGCTTAACCTAGGCATTTAGATTCGTAAGAATTCACCCATTTGTTGGGAAACTAGGTTTGAATCCACAGACTACCCCTTTATGTGCTTTTGTTTAGCACCACTTCACTCTATCACCTTTCTCTTTGTTCTATATTGCTCTCCTTCATCTCAAAACTGCACTCTTCTTGATGTTATTTCTGATTATATTGATCAAGCCCTCATTCTTTATCCATCAGCCAATATTCTTGTTGTCGGTGACTTTAATGTTCATCACACTGAGTGGCTTGGCTCTAGTGTCAGTGACTCTGCAGGCATTAAGGCCCACAACTTTTGTCTTTCTCAATCCCTAACTTGAATAGTCAACTTTCCAACTCGTTTTCCAGACAACCCGAATCATTTACCTTCTCTACTCAACTTATGTCTTGTTTCTAATCCTAGTCAGTGCTCAGTTTCTCCACACTTAGGTGCTTCTGATCATGGTTTGGTCTCTTTAAAACTATTATCTCAATCTTCTTTACCACCAGAATCCCCCTATCATTGTACATCTTACAACTACCTTAAAGCTGACTGGGACTCATTCCGTGATTTTCTTTGTGATGGCCCCTGGGTAGAAATCTTTCGTCTTCCTGCTGACAAATGTGTTTCTTACATAACTTCGTGGATTCAGGCTGGCATGGAATCCTTTATTCCCTCTCGATGATTCCAGGTGAAGCCTCACTCTTCTCCATGGTTTTCCTCACATTGTGCAAATATTTATATAATATATAATTGTGTAATAGATTTGTAATATTTATTTATTCTTATTTAAGATATTTAAGCAAGTTGCTTTTAGGGTTTCTCATTTCCCGTAAATTTAGCATCCCGGGATTCCCGGTGTGTAACTTATTTATCCCGGGATTTCCCGGGATTTCCCGGCATAATTTTTAATATAATAACAAGCGGTTTCTGACACAAATTTATCTTAGCACGCTAATCTATATTACTATTTAAAATGAAATATTGTTTTAAAAAACATAAACAATCAATTGATTTGTCACTTAATCGTGAACGAATTTTTCCCATAAATAGACCCGCGGCAGAAAAAGCCCTTTCTGATTCAATTGATGTCGGCTTGATGGTCATTAATGTTGAGTATATTCTTTCTAAACTTTCGCTACGCTTTCCAGTTGCCTCAAAAAGTTTGATTTCTTTTGTGAGGTTTTTTAAATTGCTAATGTTTTCTAGAGCTGCTTTTTCTACTTGTTTGACATTACAAATAGTCGCATCCAATTTTTGTTCAAGCGTCAAAATACTTTTGCCTAATAAATATGGAGCAACAGGTTGAGGTATTGACGGGTCAGAAACCATGCTTTCATTATCACGACTCACTTCAACTATTTCATTATTTGATGAACTAAGGCTAGCATCCTCTATGTACAACCTGGTATAAATTTTTTTTGCTGTTGCTTTTAATGCATGTTTGGGCGGTAAGAGTAGTTTGGAGTTGATATTTGATTCCTGATTATAACTAATTGGGTTGTTTAAAAATTTTAGTAATCCAATTAAATTGGCATTTCTGCGTTCTTCAATTCTCTGCTGCACAGATTGAAGCAGTTTATTAGCTATAAATTTTTTTTTCTCCGTCAAATCGTCTAAGATGAATATCATTACACCTTCTGCGTCAAGTAGAGTAGCATTACTTCTACCAAGTCTTTCTATTCCAACTTTTATTGGTTGCAGAGAAAATGTTATGTCGTTCATAATCGCATATTCATCTTCGGAGATATTCAGAACTTCTTTTAAATCGATCATTGCTTTTAGTATACATGTTTTTACTTTAAGGAATCTTTCTAGCATTGCAACAAGACTATTCCACCTCGTTTTGACATCTAATATCAGCTTAAGCTCTTTATTAAACATAGATTTTACGTACATTTGTAAAACTTCATTTTTAAGAGGTGATTTACGGAACATTCGAACCACTTTTCGAACCTTCTGAATTGTTAAGGCTATATTTACGCTATTTTGTAAATCATCAATAAACGTAACGCCTGTTGAGCTGTGTGACTCATCATTACAGTCAAATACATCATCAAACTCGTCGTAATCACTCAAATTTTCATCGGAATCTTGAAACTGCGATTCAAATTCAATATATTTTGCTGAAGAGTCTGACTTTTTGTAAAGAACATCACATACTGCCAAATGAAGTCCGTGGGCATAACACAGCTGATGTTCAATACCACTTAGCCGTCCAAATTTTTTCATTACGGATGCTCCGTCAGTGACACTAGCTATGATGTGCTTTTTAATTGATAAACTGAAATCTGACAGTTTATTTTCAACTAGATCAACAATTTTTTCTGCAGGAAGTGATCCAGCTATCGGAGTCATTCCCAGGTTCCAAAACTTTGTTGATAAGTGTAAATTTACATTTAAATAACGTCGATTTTTTAAAGACGTATATTCGTCTAACGATAAAGAAAATCGCGACCCGCTAGAAATTTCTTTTGTTATCTCTAAAACCACAGTTTGTCTAGCTAATTCATATTGTTTTTTTATCATACCCATAACATGGGATGGATTTTTTGGTAATAACATGCCTTTTTCAGACAATGATTTTCTAATGAATTCACTTTTTGTTATGGCATTTATTGAGAAGCCATACACCGTTGCTAGCTTTGACACAATTTCCTCGATAGTCTGCTGTTTAACAAACAATGTTATTTTCTTTTGAACAATTTTATTTTCCGAACCAGTATCTTCAAGTAGACGCTTCATATTTAGATCCAAATCTTTATGTGTGTTTTTTAAATGACGTAGGAGCCCACTGGTCGAAAATCCTTTGCACATTATCTTTACATTGCACTTTTTGCAAATTGCAGATTCGCCAGATTTTTCTTTACAAAAATACTGCCATGCTTTGGATCCATTTACAATTGACATTGTATAACTAAATTGAATCGCAGAACAACTAAAAGTAAAGTTACAAATATTTCTTACATATGTATGTTATCTTACGTATGACTTTTATGTGTTTGTTTGCCGTTTTTTAAATACAAAAATTATTAAATATTTCAATAATTTGATACAGAAAAAGTTTAACTTTTCAATAATTTAGAAGTTTAAAAATTAAACTTACTGTTTTCGTCGCAAGAAATCTTTTTTATTTTTTACTCATATTTTATAATAATGAGAAAAAAGAAAACATTGCATTGCAATGCATTTCTTTTTAGTTTAAGATAGTTTCAATAGCATTTCTTGTTGTGCTAGGTTTTAATATAAGGTATGAACACATAAAACACAACTAAATGCAATAATATTTTTCTTATTTTTGGTCGAATTAGTTCAAAGTTATCATATGTAAAATTATTTTAAAAAAAATTATATTCCGGGATATAAGAGTGATATCCCGGGAAATCCCGCTGCCACTTTTATCCCCGGGATCCCGGGAAAACGGGATCCCGGGATCCCGTTTGAGAAACCCTAGTTGCTTTACGCCAAAATAAACAACTACTTTCCAAAAAGTTCAATTTATATTGCAATATAAGGCAATAAAGAAAAGAAAAACTATTTTAAAACAATGTTTATATATATTTATATATATATATATATTTATAAATATAATACATATATATATATGTATGTTATATATATGTTATATATAATATATATATATATATATATATATAAATATATATATATATATATAATATATATATATATATATATATATATATATATATATATATATATATATATATATATATATATATATATATATATATACAAATATATAAATATTTTACATATTTACAAATATATATATATATGTATATATATATACATATATATATATATATATATATATATATATATATATATATATATATATATATATATATATATATATATATATATATATATATATGCATATATATATATGGTCACATGTTCATGTTTCAAATTTCCATATCATTTATATAAACTATTTCACTATTTTAAATAATATACAATACCTTGATTTGTTAAGATTGATGCAATAATTGACTCATAATATCAACCAAATTTTTAAAAATTCTATAAATTTCGACTTTGACACATCAGCCTATTGCATCCATTTGCATATAAAGCTTATCGTTTGATGCAGTTCTTTATATAGATCTTTAAATCTCAGTGTCATTTCATTTCTTTAATATTTAAATATGCAAAGTAATATAATTAAGAATATTATAAGAGTTTAACTTTTTGTAGACTTGTAGATTTCATAAATGAATTATATATATAACAGAGTACAAAATATTTTGTAAATATTAAATAGAAACTCACAACAGCATGTACATTCAGCAGATTGACTAGATTCAGTTTTCTTAACAGAACATTGACTAGCTTGCGGTTCTTCAGTTGCCTGGTTGATATTTGTCTTGACAAATAATAATGTTTTTATCATCTTAAACATCTTTCACAAAATTATATTTACCAAAATTACATTTTGTAGTTTCTCATTTGAGCAACCAAACCTTGCGTTTGTACGACAGAGCTTTTACATTTAGCTTTATTACCCTTTTTACCAAACTTTGCAGGTATTTCTTCAAACCGTTTTCAAAACTGCATCTATTTTTCTACCAGCACCAGACATTTTTATTTCTAGTTATATTATTTTTATTTACAACTATAAAATAACAACAATTATAAATGAATACTGTTTTAAAAAAAACTTGTAAATACTATTATAAAAAAAGAATATATTTATATTTATTATATAAATAGTAACAAAAGCAGAAACTAATGTAATTATTCAATAAGTTAAAACATGAAGAAGAAAAAATTTACTTATATGGAAAAAAAATCTTACAATAAATTAAAAAACTTAATGATTTATATGATTACTATTTATTTTATAATGCATTATCTGACTATTATAACTAATACTAGTTTATTCAGTAGTTATATTTAGCTAGTGTAATTTAATTAAGTTGATTAATTAATAAATAATCATTAAAAATAATCAAAATCAAAAAAGTTAATTTAAATAATGATTTTTATTTGTCTGATTTAAATCGATTTAAATTAAATGATTTAAACCAATCAACCAACCGCCCAATC